TCCTGGCGGTGTTCCCGCCGGGCCGGCGGCGAAGGGTGATGGCGGCGGCGGTCGCGGCGAGCGAGCAGCGCCGAGCACTGGCGGCTCGCCCTGGAAGAGGCCCCGGAGGCCGCCCCGGTCGCCGTAGGAGCAGGCTGCCGCTGGGAGTTGGCGTGACAGCGAGCAGCTCTGCGAGGGCTGGGGGAAAATACCTAAAAACTCACAGTAGTGTTCCTTGCCGGCTGTAACCGAAGGATTTCCCAGTGGCAGCGGGCTGCCGGGGAGGAACGGCCATCATCACCTGGGCTCGCAATGCAGAACATCACTGGGGAAGCAACTGCCTAACTTCAAATAGAGCCCAGTGATCCCAGCGAGGGGAATAACCATTTCAGCCTAGTGCTGGAGGAGAAATTAGCTTAATGATTCACATACTTACAGTCAAAATAGTCTAGCCCTAGGTTGCTGGCAGCAACGGTCAAGAACAGTTTTTAATCAAACACACGGTATTGCCATTAGACTACTGATTTCATGATAACAGAACGTGTATTCCGTAACCTGTTCTTTCAGCACCTTAATGCTGGGAATGAGATAGTTGTATCTGGGTTCCTGTGATCTAATTTAGTTACACACATCTTTAAGGCATTTGACGTTTTTCCCAAACCAAAACAAATCACCAGATTCTGGATGGCTGATGTCTGTACTGGGGATGAGCTTTGTCAAGCCATCAGTAAGATCTTTTCCAGGTAATGAATGCCCCAAAAGATCTTTCTGCACAGTTAACTTTTTGAAATGTAGCTTGTTTTATCTAGGGGTCTGCATAAAAATAGTAAAAGTCTCACTGGTTAGAGTGATAGCTCCATATCAAAGATCCCAGCCTTTAAAATGTCACCAAATAGTTCAAAAGAATAACTTTAAAGCATGACAGTTCACAAGAACTATTTTTAAGCTAAATACATATTTTGTTCCTTTTGATACATTTTGTGGTACACAGCAATTTTAATTGGCTTGAGGAACCTGATGTGAATGTAGTATTCATTTTAAAGTTTTTATTAGGAGATCTTCGTTTACTACAAAGCCTGCTCTGTTGATTAGCAGCATGGTTACCACTGAGCCTCACTTATACTAAATATCTATTTACCTTGAGTGATGCAAACACCTCTACAAAAGAGGACAGACTATTAACTTCATCAGGTTCCTCCTGTTAGGCCAAGCAAGAGTTAGAACTAGCAAATTACAAGTGAAAGGCTCTATAAAATAAGCAGATAATCTAATGGGACCACTAAGATTTGCTATGATACTCCACTTTAGTTAATGTTAATAAAATTGAATGTGTAACTTAAGTCTACAGCCCTGGAATCCATTAGGTTGACCAGGTAGAGAACCTCCTTTGCGTAAGCATAAGTGTTAATAATTCATTTTAAATTAAACTGTCAGATTCTGATATTATAGTTTTCCTGTTGTTCATGTCATTTTAGGTGTTCCACAGAAATGTGTTTTCATTTATATCAGAAAGTTTTTATATTCCATGTCATGCATTCATTTAAGGCACAGGCAGTGACAACATTAAGAACTGCCTGACTGCTGAAGACACTTGATTCATGTGGTGGCGGTGTACTTTAACCCGGCAGGCAGCTAAACACCACACAGCTGTCCACTCACTCCCCCACAGCAGGATGCGGGAGAGAATCAGAAAAAAAGCTAACACTCATGGGTTGAGATAAAGACAGTTTAATAGGACAGAAAATGAAGGGAAAATAATAATAACAATGATAAAAGACTATACAAAACAAGTGATGCACAACGCAGCTGATCGCCACCTGCTGATCGATGCCCAGCCAGTCCCCCAGCAGCGGGCCACCAGACCCCAGCCAACTCCTCCTGGTTTCTCGCCTCTGCAAGAATGTATTTAAGGGCAACCTGGGAGGGGGAGTGGGAGTTATAAGGAAGAATGGCAAAGAGGACACCTATGCAAACACCAAGGTCAGTGGAAAGAAGAAGGGGAGGTGCACCAGAGCAGAGACCCCCTGCAGCCTGTAGTGAGACGGCGGGGTCTGCCCCTCTGCCACCCATGGAGATCAGCGGTGGAGCAGATGCCAACCTGCGGCCTGTGGAGGGCTCCACATCAGAGCAGGTGACTGCACCCAAAGGAGGCCAGGACTCTGTGGGAATAAGCAGCCCACGCTGCTGTAGTTTGGTGCCGGGAGGACTGCAATGTGCAGGGGTCACCCATGCCAGAACGTCTTGGTGAGAGCTGCAGCCTGTGGGAAGGACTCACGTCGGAGAAAGTTCATGGAAGACTGCGTCCAGTGAGAGAGGAGCCACACTGGAGCAGGGAAAGAATGAGAGGAGTTTCTTCCCCAGACCCCGAGGAGGAAAAAGCAGCAGCACCAACTGCAACCCCATATCCCCTGCCCCCTGCACTGCTGGGGGGAGGAGGTAGAGTTATCAGGAACAAAGATGAGCCCAGAAAAAAGGGAGGGGTGGGGAGGTGGTGTTCCTAAGATGTGGTACTGTTTCTCACTGTCCTACTCTGTCTGTCAAGTGCTGTTGTAATTAGTGTCTGAATTACACTTATGTTCTTTTTTCTTTCCCTAAGGAGTCTGTCTTTTTCCCCTGACAGTAATGGATGAGTGATCCTGCCCTGTCCTTATCTAGATTTCTGATCTTTTTGCTTTATTTTCTCCTTGCCAGAGCTTGGGGGAAAAGGGGGTGTGAGCGGCTGCATGATGCTCAGTTGCCCTCCAAGCTCAAGCCACCACACTTAGTGTAAGCACTGCTCAGCAACAGCTAAAACAACAGTGTGTTATTGACATTATTCTCATCCTAAATCCAGAACATAGCACTATTCCAGCTCTATGCCAGCTGAAACCAGGACAGGTGTAGAGCTTTAGCGAAGTGTATAACACATTGGAAATACTCAGTACAATGATTCACAATTACAGTAGGCATGACTAACTTTTCAGCTGCATATTTTAGTAATAGTTATTCTTATTAATCATTCCTGTGGAATATGTACCAAGACTACATTTTTTTACAGGGTTTCTTTGAGTACACCCCGATATTCAGGAAGTTATGCACGCCTATAAAATTCACCATCAGCTCATCCCTGTGTTTGTAAGCAATTACCTCAACTCTCTGAATAACCAGTGTACCAGCTGGGAATCAAATGGGAAAAAGCAAGTGGCTAGAACACTCACAGGACTACAGCCCTCACCAAAACTGTACAAATGGTCAACTCGGCTGGATCAAGGTTTTACTACAAGGTCTAGAAACTACGAATAGACTTTATCTGCAACAAATGACTCTGCTATAATTCTTTTAGTGTGTTATCAACTCGTGTGAATGTGGTGGACGCCAGGTCCCACCAAAGCTGCTCTGTCACTCCCCTCCTCAGCTGGACAGGCATCAGAAAAATCTAACAAAAGGCTTGTAGGTCAAGGACAAGGAGATCACTCAGCAATTACCAACATAGGCAAAACAGACCTGACTTGGAGAAATTAGCTTAATTTATTACCAATCAAATCAGAGTAGGAAAATGAGAAATAAAATTCTTATCTCCCTGTCAGTGTGGAACCCACAAAAACACATGCAATAGGTGCTGCTTATCGTGCTTGTGAAGCAAATCTATGCTGTGCCAGGGCACTCACTGCAGGTTAAAGGTGTCCTCAGTTAATTTATGACAAGCTACATTCACTGGAACGTATCTCACACTAATTTCACCTGACAGATAACTAATGTTTCAAACTATTCCTAGTAGAATTGAGCACTAGTATAGTGATCTTTGAGGGCAGAGCTTAACACCAGAGCAAAAACTAGCCCTGCTGTACTTATGTTATACTGCTGCTGCTACTCAGCAGAGTATCTTTCTTTTTACTATAGGGAAAAAAAATTCAGCATTTCATTTTCCAGCAAGAGAAAATACGCTACCAATAGTGTTACCAAGTGTTTCTAGTAGAGCTGGAAGAATTTTGCCAGGTAGTTATGACTCTCTTGCTCTGTACTCCTGTCCGTGTATTCTAGACTTTTGTTGCACTTCAATATGGGAAAGCCTCACTGCTATGGCCAGGTCTGTATTATAGCTGCCATTTGCCCTTTCTGTTTATATTTCCCCCTTCTTCACTTTCCCACATGAAGTACCCAAGACCTTCTCACACATGATGCAACACAAAATTCAATCAAGTTTTTACTTTTTCTTCTCTCTCAAACTTGTTCTTGCAGAAAGAACAATGGAGAAAATGCTTCTATACACAAATGACATTACAATAAAGTGTCTTCAAAGCCCTTAAGATAAGGTTTATTTCACCCAACACGTCCCCTACTCACCACTCAGCTCACTTTAGGAACCAAAAAAAATGCATTTACCATTTCAACCTTACGCTCTTCCTCTGTCAGATAAATCATAAGTATTATTACACTACTGTTTCTCAGCTTCAAGATCAAATTAGCTACATAACCCCTCAACAAAAAAGGAACAAAACCACAGGAATCAATGGGCAATCTCATATAACACTACTAGTGGGCAATTAGCAAAGAGAAACAGAAGGATGAACATGATCATACTTTCACTAGGTAAGTTTATCTGTAAAATAGATTTATTGCTAAATGTAACTCAAAGTATCAATAAAAACTGTGCATGCCATTTGGTCTTTCATTCATTAAACACACTCATCTTTGAAAACATGACTCTGACTAATGAGCTGTGTTAAGTGGCTCTTGGATTATTTTGTTGCTATTCTAGTGAAAGATCTGGACTCACAGAAGCTGATGAAAGAAAGAAAAGCTTCAGTGCTTCTGCACTCAGATATCAGCTTCTCAACCTAATCTCTAGAACAATTCTCAATTTATTTATTTACTTAATGATTACAAGCATCACAAAATCCTATTTAAGAGCTTGCCTGAAGTAGATTTTGTCATCACAAATGGAAGAAGGATCGAGGATGCAGAGTTCTCAGTCAGGGCACTTCACTATAAAGTACTCTTCAAAAGTATTCTGAAGAGTACCAATAAAAAGACCGCACCACTTCCAACCACTCAAGTATTTAATTCAAATAATGCATCACTTGTTCTAAGAAAGCAGACAGCTTGTCAAAAGATGCAGAAACAATTGCTTCACTTTTTCTTGGAACTTCCACTGAAAACATCTGTGATTAAGTTTTACCAATTTAACTGCGTCCACCCAGGTATTGAAAAATAAAGAGAATTATTTTATCTAGTGAATCTTTCAAAATAGATCACAAAATACAAGATCGAGTGTCAACCATGGTTCTTACAACAAACCATACAATTCATCGTAGAATAGGCACCCTTTTTTCAGAAGGTTTAAAGACACTTAATATATTTGGCTCCATATATTATTTTTTTTTTTAGTCTTTTCTTGCTAGGCATAACAGAAAAGTCATTTAAAAATAAGGTGAATCCAGCAGACACCCAGAGAAGCAGCTCCATCACTGCACAAGCCAACACGTTTTAATATCAAATCTTCTGAATTCAGAGACTTGTTGAGGACTTTCTGCAGTTTGATAGCAAACAAACAGCTCTTGTAGGCTACTGAGGCAACTTGGTTAACACAATACTAGTTACCTTGCCTAACTGAAAGGCAAGTTACGCTTTCTTTCACTTCAATGTGAGTTTTCCTTCAACAGCAATAGTCATAATTTGACTTCACCTTTGTAGCAGATTATGTGGAAGAACTATTTAGCTTGTATTTTTGGCAGCACTCTTCAAAAAACACTCAGCACACATTGATTGTACACTACAAAAATCAAGGCAAAGCTTTGTAAATCCCTGTAAATGTTCCATTCTGAATTTCTAAAGCCACTTGTTTTGGGTATGATGAACAAATTGTCTTACAACAGCCTACACTGTATGTATGGTTGGAAGGAAGGATTTTTAATCTTCTCAGTGGAAGATGGTACTTTCATCATTTTAGCTCAAATAAAAATACTAGAATGCCAGTTATTACTTGACAGGCAATTTTCAATTTCAAGCCACATCTGTTTAAAATTTCTTTCTACTAATTCATTTTAGCAGTGTTATCACAACACAATGAAGAGCAATGGAAAAAGTCATACAGTGTTTTACAAGGAAAAAAAAAGGCAAAAAACAAGATATGAAAGGGAAACTGCTAAACACACAGAAATAAATACAACTCAACACAAGGTAGGGAATATAGCAGCTTTGAATACATAATACTCCACACACACTGATTCCTCATTACTTAGCAATCATAACAAAACCATGCAAGAACAAAGACTTGCCAGAATAGTTTTCTTTTAGAGGTCAAAAATTAAGTGTGAGTGCTCATTTATTATATTTATTTTTTTCTACATTGTTTGCCTTGATAGGAGTAAATATGTATTAGGTGCATTTATTTCTTCACCATTTCACAAACCACAGGCTGAACACTGGTGATGTCAGAGAAGTATTTTGTCAACACGCAACTGAGTATCCCTACTGAGATGCAGCCATCCAACTACAGTACAGCTCACTTCTCTGAGTTTTTGTGAGCATTAATTAGCTTCTGTCGCATCGCCCGGTTCCTGGCCCTGTTTTCTTCATACTGGAAGACAGATAAGGAAATTAATAGGTCAGCTATTATCATTAAACAGATAAATCAAATTTAAAAGTGTAGAGAGCCTTTATTACTCAGGAACAGAAACAATATCTTTGACTGATGCATTAGTAATGCAGTTCTTGTTAATATCTATGTATTGGTTCATTTTTACTTTGAAATTAACATTTATTTGATTAAAATACATGTTTCTAAGTTTGAGGTTATTAAGCTAAAGAGTACGAGAACATTCTAATAAAGAAGATTCAGTTAATCTTATGGAGGAGCTTAATTATACAGCCATCTGATATACGACAGCTACACTTCACACATGAACTAGGAAAAAAGTTGCACTGGTGCTATTCTAGAGCACAGGTCAGGCTCTTTTCCTTTTAAAAGACACTGATTAATGTAAGTGTGTCTGCCTTCCAAAACATGAATTTGTCATCATAGACTTGGTCTATTTTTGATCCTGGTCATTAATTATGTGCATAAAGTAGTATACCAAGATGAAAAGAACAAAGGCAAAATTGGGTTGATTGAGGGTAAGGTGTTTTGGGAGTTTTTATGGTTTAAAAAGGAAACAACAGAGACAGGACTCCAGTGTAAAATGGAATCAAGAAATCCTTCACAGTTTAGATACACGCATAAGATGACCATGCTTTCAAGTATACCCCTGTGCTAGTAAAAGCCCGAAGTCTTGCAGCCAAAAAGGAAACTTTTTCATAGCTATAAGAAATGAAAAATTAAAAATCTATGCATTATTTAACATGTATTTCGTGAGAAGCAAATTATTCTTAGCCTTAAATTAGAGCATATATTTGCTCAATTTTGTAATAATTGGTATCAAGAATAAAACCCAAGTAACCCACAAATATTCAATTCTCTATATATTGTAATAAACTACTAAGGAGATTGATTTTGGAAAGGATTTGCAGTTTTTCACTCATTATACTGATTGGTTTATAACTGAAATAATGGCCTGAAACATTACTTAACATTTACAGAATGCGTAACTTTTTCCCATGCCAGTATTTAATTTTTCAATAACCCATCTATATTTTTACACAGAATGAGAACAATGGATCTTTAAAAGCTACATCTGTACCTACTCGATACTTGTGAACAGACTTTCAGGGGCTTCCTAGTAATGGCATATCAATGTAGCCATATTTTAAGAAGGCAGACAAACATAGCCATCAAGAACTCCTTTTAATGTAAAGGCTTCAATGGAACAAAGAAAAATAAGATTTCATGGAAAGAAACTTTACTTCATTAGTTTTCAGATCTGTGCTACAGTTTTTCAGGGGGAAAAAAAAAGGATATCTGACACAAGCAGATGAAATTAATTACCGTAGACTGACAGCAAAAAAAAAGAAGGCCCAAACTGTTCCAGCTATCCTGTACTTGAAGTTTCCCTTTTTAGACACGATTGTGAAATTTATGTAAAAATTAGTAAGTTTAATTTCAAGTTAAAGGTGTGTGAAAAGTTCATTTATGTGTTCTGTCATGTAGGCATGACAACCGCAAATATAAAGACCATTTGATACTCTTCTGAAAATGTACCCGTTAGCTAGTTAATCTACTTAAACTCCTGGAGTATTGCATTCCTTCATATCTGCAGATGTAGTACAGCAATGAGTAGGTCCTAAGCAGCAATATTTTCATTTAGGGCCTAACTCAGCAACTTGTCAAGTAGTTTCAATCAGTATAACTGACCTCTGTAATAAGTGTTACTCATGCAGAAGTGATCATTACTGCTTTATATTCTATTCTGTGCAAATACCACTACTTAAAAAAAAACCAAAAAAAAAAAAATCAAGAAAAAACACCAGAAGCAAGATGTTCCTATTTGCAATATTTGTTTGGTTAAAATGTGTGTCTGCCTATTTTTGTATACCCAAAAATAGACCATGCCATTTGTTAAAGCCAGATTTTACCTGACAAACATATCAAAAAAAGTTTAAATTTGGTTTCAAATGCCCACTCCAGAATGTGCTTACATTTCAAGGCCTATTAATTGATTTGTACTGTTTAGTATAAAGCAACTCTATTGCTACCCCATGGACTTTTTTTTTTTAATTAAGCATTTAACTCACAGTAAATTGGTTTCTTACCTCTTTCTTTAAGCACTTCCGCATCTCATGGTCAATATCATTGCAATGGCCAAAAAATTTCAAAATGTAGTGCTGATAAGTTTGGACAGAAAAGAAAATTTACAATTCAAAGGTTTCTTCCTCTGAAGTTCTAAATTTCATAGAAGTCACTTGCATTTTGCAACATATCCTGGTCTTCTTTTCCTTTTCTCTTTTTGTGAAAAATTATGCTTTGTAACTTTTTTACTAAGTAGCTAGAAGTTAGAGCTACTCCTGAGCTTAATTTGAATCACCCCTCCCCTTGCTGAAAGTTGAAGGTACTCACCATGTTGTATAACCAGACTAAAATAGGATACCTAAGCTAAAGCTATGAAGTCTAAATATAGAATATACATTTTATTGAGCTATGAATCAATCTTACAACTTTCACTCACACTAGCTTCAATAACGTACAAAAAATAAATATTCTGAACTTCCTTTTGTGATACAGAGAGAGACAGGGAGATCTACAGGTACCCTGGAGGCAATGTCCTCTGTGCTTTAGTTTTCATTATTTCTTCATGGCCTAGAGAGGCAAAGGACTTGATGCCCCATCATCCCAACCACATGAATAATGTGTTGTTGGTCCAGAAAATGAAGGCACTAGACTTAAATGACTGAAATGTTAGAATCAGTGTAAAAAACTGGGTATGAAGTTTCTCCAGATCTTGAGGTTAATAAGTAAGATGCATTTACCATCTTTATGACACAGCTCAACTGTGAGCCTTATGCATACGTGTTATTTAGTTTCTGAAAAACTGAAGGCATTGTCTTCATGAAGGCATTCCCCAGCTAACCTGATGATATTCACCATCCTCTTAGCCAGGATTTCCTGAAGCAATTTCATATTATCAGCCATCAAATCACTATCAGAATGCATTCTTCTAAAAGGACTACTTTTTCTGTGATGCTTGCTACCATGCCATAGAAACTTGTAGCAGAATCTGGTAGCAGAGCATCCAAGCAATTCAAAAGACTTGATGTGGAGGTTTTAGTAGACATTTACAGCTATACAATCAATAGAGACAATAAGACCAATCTTTTATAGAACCAATTAATTTTATAAAAAAAGACCACAAAGAACAAAACAGATGAGAATGAAGTCACTTATGTATTTGAGAGAGAAACCTATGTGCATTTCTGTAGCTGATGAGCAGCTGGAGAGATTTATACAAGTAATACAGGAACACTGTTAAGAATACAAACAGTAAACAAGATTTCAGCCAACAGAACATGCTTGAAAGTAGAAGTGGGTTAATAAAGATTATGACAAACATTTAACTGTAGCAGTGCTATAATTAGCTTGTTTATACCTCTCTGCTTTATAAAGGGCATCAGATGACACAGCGAAGCAGTTGCATGTGATAATTGGTCACTTTAGTGCAAGCTGATCTTGCTTTTACAAAATTTTTGTTCTAGCTAATAAAGATTTTGTTTTGTATTCTATTCCCACACCTGCATGTTAAATTTCAAGGTGAGCACTCACATTTCAAGGTAACTCCACTCTTACTAGTGCATACATGAGTTGAATCTATGTTTATTTAGCCAGATTCCTAAATTGTCAACTTTTTGGCTCAGATTGTGAGGAAAAATAATCAGTTTCTCAAAAATAGTTATTAGGTGTATTACAGTGATACAATTGTAAGACAATATGCATTTCTTTCAGCTGCTACCTATACAAATAAGTCTCTTTAAAGCACACACTTGGCACCAGAGTGAAGTTGCTTTAAAAAAAAAAAAAAATCAAAATGATGACATCAAATAGGAATCCTATTAACCTCTCCTTAGTAGATGCAAAACTCAATATAATGGGCAGGTACTAGATTAGGAATAAAGTAAATCAAACTGACTTTTGTGAAAATGCACACACAGGACACCCAATTAAAAAATAATGCTTTTCATCCCTCAGGAGTATTAATTTGAATTGTAGATGAAAGTTCTTATGACATTTTGGCATTACAACAAAACAGCAGGTAGTCACTGATAACTGATTAAGATTACTGACTTTTCAGATTTCAGTGACTTCAATCTTAAAAGAATATTTCAGTATATTCCCCTTGAATTTTAAATGAAAAAGTACTGCTTCCTTTCAACTGAATGTGAAATAAGCCATCTTTACCCTTTCTGTTCTGAGACTGCTAGCACAAATACTCTGACAGAAGTAATTCTTCTTTACGTAAAGATCAGCTTCAAACAAAAACAAGAGTATAATCCTTTGTATGACTGTATTATTGTTGTTCCTAGTCTCTTCATAACTCAAATTGAGCCCTTTGAATCACTTGCTGCCAAGGAATTCAAGTACATCTTTTAGTTCCAGTTCCTGCTTAGACTCAAGGCAGTCTAATAAGCTACATTGTACAAAAAGCCTATGATACCTGTATATTAACATTAATTTTTATGAAAAAACAAAACAAAGTAAAACCAAAAAAAACAGTGAACTGTAACTTTCAAGTAGTAAATGAGTATTTCTGTATTGTCTAGTCAAAACATAGAAAGCCCAACTATGTATGCACCAAAAAGCAGAAAAAAATCCGAGTGTATTTTCTTTCCTGATTTGTTTTCCCAATTATGAAAACTTAATGACAACATTTTAATTTTATATTGCCTATAGAAGTTTTATTCTCCTCTTAACTGACAGTCATTTTATTTGGCAATTCTTTTGATATTGAAGAAGTTAATATACAAGGAGACTCTTCTTACTTAATTCTAGTTTTTAACTACGTTACATTAAAGTTGTTTCCAAGAAGAAAAAAAAAAAGTTAACTAAAAAGAAAGAAAGTCTCTACAATCTCTTAAATTACCTAAAGCATTTTTAGGCAAATTCAAATTTTAGAACTCAGAAGAAAGGCATAATTCTTAATATAACTTATGGTTTTAAAGCTTGGGGATGTTCTGTACAAGAACTTTGTATCCTAGGTTGAAAAAATGTAGACAGTGCATAGGAGCAGACAGGTGATGGTTTGGGAAGTACCACTTATAAGATGGCATCAACAGATTCCAACACACATTTCAAGATAGTGTGCTGCAAGTGCCAACAAAAAACCATTCGATGTTGCTGAACACACCCAGTACAGTATATTCACTGCAAGTGAATTTTAGTATTAAAACTCTGCTCCCTTCATCGTTGTAATTTAGAAATCATAAGAAAGTGTGGTACTGCAAATGTTTTTGTATGTTAGTTTAGCTACTTTAAAATCTGCAAAAGTGTTATCGCTCTTTCATGCAAAGCATCTTCTCTTACATTTAGTGTACTATCAAGTCTTGTTCTTCTTTCTGTAATGACTTTTGCAAAGAAAAATTTAGAATTCTGCTCAAAACAGTAAAGCTAACATATGCATTGTCATAGAATTTATGGATGACTGCATTATAAAAAAAGTATAAACATCATATCTGAACATAGAGGTGAAAATATTGCAGATTGCATGTAATGGTGTCAACCATTGTTTTTACACTCATATTCAACATTTACATATATTTTTGTCTCAGTGGAAACTATGAAATTGAACTTTTTATGTACTAATACACAAATATATCTGTACACACCATCTACTTAGAGTAGAACTAAGAGAGAACTGGGAAAATAATTAACAATATTGCAAAATGCTGCAGATAGCTTTCATTGCAGGGGCTGACTCCTTTATGTCTACAGGTTTACTACAGAGCAATTAGAAGAAAGACTTAAATGAGTGAGATAAAGATTCTATCTTCTGGAAGCAATGAAGAGCCTTGCGAAACCTGAAGACAATTTGGTATTTTACATCCTTGGGTAGGTGCCTATTAAGAAGATGGAAGTCAAACAGTAATTCGCATTTAGCTCTGCAAGCACTGAATCTAAGGCACGCTGTATGTCCAGATCCCCATCAACACATCTCCTTATAAATAGCCTGAAGCATCTGCCCAGTGGACAGCTGGAATATGGAAATGCTGTGAGCATACAAAAAGAGAGCATTTGAAGTTGCTTTTATTATTGTTTTTTTTGAGAGGCACATAGTTCTAAAAGGTACAGAAGTTACTTCAGTTTTTAAAATAGGTCCATACTTGTCAAGCCATAGCATAGGAAATTTTAAGGCATGTATTCTTTCCTAAAGGACTCACTGGCAAAATATTTTACACACAATCATCAGATACTTCTTCAGTGAAAACATACTAGCTACATTTTGTGGCTGTTCTGCCTAGAGGAGGTTTTGCTCTCTATGATCATATAATATTCTCACTAATTTATCTGACATTCATTTCCCCAACCCACCCACTCTTTTCTCTGCTCAAAACTCCTTACCTCCTTGTGACACTTCTTGAGCAGACTGATAACTAGGTTACATTCTTCAGTGTGCAGATGAGGAGACAGGTCTGGATGCATCTTTAGTTAGGGATAATTTTAGTAGTACGAGAACAAGAATCTGACAAAACTTCCACCTGCCAACATTAAAATATGAAAATGTAACAGGAATGTTTGAGTTAACCGCTTAAGAAATTATCACACAGTATTAACAAAAAAACCCACTTTAAATCAAAATGCAGCTTAATATGTATAATTTGCATTACACAGTTAAAGTAATTAAAACCAGCACATGCATGTTCTACTACACAGCCCAAATGTTAAAACTAGAAATTTATATTTTCTGTTATCATGGACATAAGCATGCATTTGGGATTTTAGTTTTCAGGGACGCCCTAGTAGCATTAATCTTTCTTGAACTGCAGATTATCTTTTCACTTTCCTACTTCAGTTTTCTTTCTAGCTTCAAAAAAGCTAAGTATATGTATTTTTCTTTCTGCCTTCTACAAAGATGGATCAGAATAGGAAGCACATTAATATTTCATTACAGCACTCTGAGAACAGGAATCTTTTTTAGTTATTTACATGCTTTTTAAAAAATCCAGATCCAAAGCATCGATGATGCTTTAAAAAACAGTAGCTAATCACTTAATCAAAACAGCAATGATTTTTCTTAATTATGCCCAATTGGAATGTCCCTTCTTGAAACTTCATATTGTTGTCTCTTGCCCTTTCACTGTGCTCCTGTGAAAAGCATCTGGATCTGTCTTCTACGTGAATCCCCCCACTCCTTTCCATAGTGGAATACAGCATTTAGGTTTCCCTTGAGTCTTCTCTTTTGAATGTCAAAGCAGCCCATCTCCCCTAACCCTGCGGCATATGCCACCTGTGCCACCCTCCTGACCCTCTCAGTTTCCCCTTTGCTGGACTGAGTTTTTTTATCATCTGTTAAACTGTGGGACCCAAAGATGAACACTGGATTTCAGATGTGGCCTCAAGACTGCCAAGAAGAGGGAATAATAATAACTTCCCTTGCCCTGCTAAGCTACACTTGTAACAGCCCAGTATGCTGACAGCCTTCGTTGTTGCAAGGGTGCACTGCTAAATCATGTTTCAACTTCATGTCTACCAGGAACACCAGGTCCTTTTCTGCAAAGTTCTGTGGGGCAGAAGCAAACTCCATTCTAGAAATAAATTTTTATATTACCTCCCATTAAAAATAAAAAAAAAAAAATTCCCAGAAGTAATTTTCAAGATCTTCTGTTGAAAAGGAGGAAAAGCATCATATGATAGTGGTTGAAAGATGACATCTTTGCTGTGGAAGATCACTTCACCAGAAAGGGAAGAAGAAAAGTCCAGTTTATACCAGGACAAATGGGCTCATCTTGACAAAATTCTACTTGTATGACCTATACTGCCACCAAATTAGAGAGATGCCGTTTTGTTTACTTAGTATTTTGTCACACCCCCTCCTCCCAAACAGATCATCACCTTTCTAGCTGCAATACATAAGGCAAATACCACCATAACTTGTACTAAGCAGCCATCACTGCTTTAACACTTCAGCTAAATAGACAAGCTAAATACTAGTAGCCAGTGGTCAGATTTTACAATTGCAAAATCCCGATATTCACCTGCAGTGCTGGCAGCTATAATCTACACTCAAGTAATCTACACTCAAGTAACACATTCAGCCTGAAGAGGTATGTACACTAATTTACCATCATGTGTTCATCTTAACAAGAATTACATTCCCACAAGGAAAGTAAATTTTAATAATCCAAACAGATTTAAAAGCCTGTTGAGACCCATGAGAATATGTTCCACATAGTGTTCCAAACACATGTAGTAATTCCTTTCAAAAATCTTCCCCTACGCTATCTGGAAGTCTATTTACTACATATACTCTTAGTACAGAAGTTGAAAACTGTACAAGTTGCTTAAGCATTCTATTCAACAAATTAACAAATGAACCTTTAGAAATATGACAGCAGGAGCATGACTGTAACAGCAAAGTGATTAAGAACCCTGCTGTGTTATTGCCACTGGCTTTTGATTGCATGCCACACAAAGTCAATATGTTTTAAATTTATCAGTAGATTTTTTTGATAGCGCTAGAGATAGCATTCCCTTGAGAGTGTGACCTGCTCAATGACTGCACATTACTTTAACATGTGCGAACCCAGATGATTATTAAATCTCTTCATCATTCAGCCTCCGACTGCTCTTCCCAAAACTGTCATCTGAGCTGGCTGTCTCAGAAGGAGAAAGCAAGAGCAGTGCCCTAGTGAAATAGGTAGCATGCACATCAGCAGAGGCCAGGAAGTCAAAGTGAGCATTTCCAGGAAAGATTAATTATTTCTAAACTAAGATTAGTAATCACTGCCATTGTTTACAAAATTATTCTCGGATAAAGTGGATGAAAGCTAGCAATGCCACAAATTGACGGGTGACTGCATTTCATCAATAAAAGCCTTCTAACAACTCAAATGGATTTTCCAATAGCACCTCTTGCAGGACATATTTTACAAATCAGAGGTCCTAACTGTCACACCAGTTCATAGATCAGTAGTCCTGAAATTAATTTTAAAATAATATTCAATATTAAAATCTTTCAAGTTCAATTACCAGATATGGTGCTCAGTTCATGTAGGCTACAATGGATTAAAGTAACAAAACACCTTACAGCAGTCATGGAAGGCTTAACTGGAGGCTTTAAGTACTTCTGAAGTTCATGAATGAACAGTGTTATCAGTGCTCAACGTTATATTTATGTTTAGGAGTGTCAAATTAGTGATCTATAAATGAGATCAGAGAAGGCTAAAATATTTTTGCTGGAAGGGAATGACTCTGACAGACGAAAGAGTTTCAAGAGTAACAAAAACGAATAAAAAAATGATGGAATGAGCTATTCTTAGTTTCTTTTCAATAATGTTCTAATCTAAAATAAGGATAGCAAGTTGCGGTCTTACTGGAATTTAAGTCCTCATGGACAGAATTTTACATAGGTGGTGGCTCATAAGTAATCTAAGTATGAAAAAATGTTGGAGGGGTGGGGGAGTGGAATCACCAAAAAAAAATTGGGAATAAGCAATATATTGCTCTGAGAAAACTGCTAACAGAAATGCTGGATAAAGAATGTCAAAGTAAACATGCAATTCCTGTAGAAGAAATACTAGCAGTAAAGTAGAAGAACAATATTAAGAAAATACAGGAATTGCTTTAGGAGGAAAATGGACTGCAAAATGCTAAGCAAACATTAATAACTGAACCGAATATTCGGAGAGAAGTATTTAGATGAACTCTTTACATAAAGGCACTGACATATTTCACTGGGTTCACCAAAAATGATCTGCCCTTCGATGTGTTTGACATCAGATTTTGAATTCTGTGGAGTTTTTCCTTCCTTGTTAAAATGCACTATATATCTAAATGATTTGATTGAAACGCCTTAAGAACGAACTGCAAATTTCTATAAACTACTAGCCTCCAAAGGCAGAAGACACAGACAAAGATGACCTTTCAACTTCCTTAACCAGTTTCTAAATCTACCCTATCCTTCAGAGAAGAAAAGCATTAAGAAATTGTCTTGTTACAGTTTAATGTTTTATGTAGTTTATCTTAAAGTGGGGAAAATAGAGGATGTTCTAGCTTTACGGTTTCCAACAGAAACCAAATTAAAAAAAAAAAAAAAATCAAAAGCCTAAACTTAGAAATTCTCTGACAATGGTACTGAATTTCCAATGGTAATATTTTTGTTTAGAAAAATAATACTTACACGGTAATTCTTTACATAAGCAATACTGGACATAGCATATCAAACTGCTAAAGACTTCCTAACAGGAATCAACATATAAATTATAAAAAAGTGATACTCATCCCTAATCTAAAAGCCGATTTATACACATGTTCAATACATTAAATATTTAATATTAATGTGCAAAAGGAACCTACACGTATTATGGAATGCACAATAAAACTGCAGATACCTAGCAAGTAGGCAGAAATCAAAAGGCTGTCCCAGAAGAGCAGGCAAGAACACTCTATGTGTTTCATTCCCACTCCTGTTAAGACACCAAAATCTAGGATAAAGTGCTTGTTTCTCTCCACATGGTAGTTTCTCCTCCTGACCTCCTTATGGCAAAGAGCAATAAAAGGTTCTACCCATGTGGAGACAGAGTTTGGTACATTCCCACTTCTTTCCCAAATGAAGCATGAGATCAGCATGTCAGAAATCCAGGGAAGTTCCTTCCTTCTTTTCTCAGAATGTCCCAAATGTATGAACTAACCAGTTCCCAAATGCAGAAGAAAAATTAAAGTAAGTTGCTTTAGTCTCACTGATTAGTTTAATGCTTAATATTTACATGTTTGGAAGACAACAATGAAAGGTTTAAGTCTAGATATTTGCTTTCCTAAGATGCTTTTTCCATATTTCATTAAAATATGAGAGAACACTATTTTATCAACAAAGTTTTGCTAATTTTTCCATTTTAAAAGTTGTACACAGAAGTAATTATTTTTTTAAAGTTTCTAAAGTCAACATTAATAAAACACAAACATACATTAATTCAAATATTTCTCAGAAAAATGACTTCCTAATACAAAATGCAAATCCTTGTTTACCAATCCTGAAGATGAGAAATTGCATCTGAGCATCTGCATTGCTCCTTAACCAGAAACACAGAGCTTTCTGCAGTACTACAGAACACACACGTTTGCTGCAAACACTCAGATAACATCCAGAAGGCGGCAGCATGACCCCGCAAAAGAGAATCTCTGCTAACAGCAGAGGGAAGGGCAAGCAGATCTGCAAATTCCTATAAAGCTACTGTATCACTCACCATGTGTAACATTTACTTTTGCACTTCACTGTCTAATCTGAGTAAGACCAGACATTTTGGTTTTAAGTTCTCAGTTACATAGTACTGTTCTGTTTGGCTTTGGAGAAAAATACTTACAAACGAAGCAGCTCTTTGTTTACTCAAATCATGAGTGTTTTCTGTAAGATTATACCAAGTTTTAGCATAAAAAAGGATTCAGCTCCACACCTAACTGGTTGGTGTTACGTGAAGATGTCATTCCTGTCACTTCAGCAGAACTTCTACATTTCTAGTATTATCTTTCATACACAATTTATAAATATTTTTGATCATAACAGTTTAAAATACTCAGATCATTCATTCAGTAAGATGAGAAATCACAGCTGATGAGCACCATACAAAACCCTAGGGAATTTTGAAGTAAGGACTGTTTCCAGCTTTCAGTAGCATGGTTAACATCCTCCAGATCAGGATATTAAAGTACCATTCTATGCCACTATACTTAAGGTTGTGATTAGGCTCACTGAGAATGACCCCTAACTTTCCAGTGTTTCCACAAAATTTAGCCAGACACCTTCACTTTAATAAACCAAGTTTAGCTAAGTCTTATAAAAATTAGTCACATCTTGAATTCCAGTCTTCAAAACTATGCACTAGCTTTCCAATATTACATATTAGAATGGGGGGGAATAACTTAGACACATGTCTATGAAGACTTGTAAATAGTAAGGAAACACAACAGGCAGAGCAGGGGTGGAGATTCTGTCTACTTTTAAAATGTTTTTGTATTAGGTAGATTGCGTTTACTTTCCCTGAACCTAAATAATAATTTTAAAAACCTTTGAGAAATAAGATTAACACTGATTTTAACTGTCTTTTTACATGAATGCTTTCTGCCAACAATTCAACATCCCTCACATCAGCAGAACGAGTGCTCACCCGCTACTTTTAGGAGTAGGTATCTGATGAAACTACAGCATACCCAATTTTATACTTAGTAAAGCAAGTTAAGAAGGTGTTAATCCTAGTAAATAAAGCAAGTTAAGCATCAACTTGAATATCAAGTAATTTCTACAGGTTTATTTCTAGCTAAAATAAATTATCAAGAAAATAATAATAGGGCATTTTCACCTCCTGGCAATTATTTAAGGTCATATTCATACAACAAACAGCGGCACTGTTATGGGACAATTAGTGGAATATTTTTATTATAATATGCAGCAAGTCACACTGCACACTATAGCATTATATCAGAAAAGATTACTGAAGCAATCTCCTTCTATTCCTGGTATGTCTATGAAGATGAGAATATACAGTCAAGAATTACAACACCCAGCAAGTATAAAAGCAAAGCACGCTGAAGATGAGCTGCTGTCGCCCAGTTCCTGTTTTGCAAGCTGCTCTTGTACTTCAGCTGCATCCACCAGACCAGGCTTCATTACTATTGTATTCCTTTCCTGATCTAGCAGATAAGAGCACTATAAACTTCTAACTACCAGCAGGATTTTCTCACTTACTATTGAACTGCTTTTCCCCTTCTGAAAGGGATCAAGAGGACCATGCTCCTGATGGAAAAGACAGGATGCAGCAAGACCCCCTCAAGAAAGGCACATAGCACTCGGCAGAAAGCAAGTGCTGTCAGCATAACATTGCTTCGCTGTAAGGTGAAAGGGGCTGCTACGCTATTATCAAGTTATGGCAGGAAAAGAGGCCTCCTGAACTTAGTTTTCTGTCCGTAGCTTATCGGTGCTCCCAGGAATTCATAAAATAGTGATGGGATACACAGAAACACAAGGAAACGCAAGCTTACGACAGTCGGTATTAAGAGCCCCGAGTTCCCCCTCTGAACAGTCCTTTTGAAAGTCCTACTTAAGCCCTGAAGGAGGGTGCGAAGTGAGCAGAGGGTCGCGGAAGCCCCGAGCTCGGGCAGGGCAGGGCAGGGCTCCACCAGAGCCAGGCGGTGGGGAGGGAAGAAGGCGCCAGGATCAGGGCGCGCTTCTCGGCGCGCCTCTCTTTTTCCTTGAGGCCTAAAACGGCACAACGCCACCCATCTCGGGTCCGGCCAAAGCCTCCCCTCTTCGCCATCCTCCCACTTACTCCAATCCCCAGCGGACGAGCCGAGGCAGGCAGCGGGCAGAGGCGCGGGTGACCCGGTCAGGCCCCACCGGAAGCCGCCTCAGTGCCGGAGAAACACCCCTCAGGGCAGCGGCCGCGGCGCGCGGCGGGAGCGAGGGGCGGGGCGCCTTTTGATTGGACGGCTCGGGCACCGTGCGGGGTCTGATTGGGCGCTTTGAAAGGTGGGCGGTTCCTGGCGGTTGGCGGGTGGGCAGCTGCTGTGCTCTGAAGGTGGGTCGTGGTGCTTCGCTTGGCTGCGTGGTTCTCTTCGCCTCTGTGTCCCCTGTTTAGAGTTCTCCGGGCCCCTGACGGACCGGGTAGGCTCTGGGTGGGGGCCAGCACCTCATCTATTCCCAGAAGCTGGCATCAGACCTCCATCAGTGAGGAAGACTGCTGAGGGCTTGGGGAAAAATTGTCGTAGAAAGCGTTTTAACTCGCTGTCGTTGCTGTCCGCCGAAATCTGGCCGTGCCACGCTTAGGTCTGACGCTACTGTTTTGCTAGTCGTGCCTAAGTGTAGCCTTACTAGGGGGGCAAATCTCCTGTGCCTTGGTATTAACTTATTTAACGTTTCAACTTTTTAGGTGGCTTCATCATGGATGCGATTGTTTGTGAGTATATCCGAAGAACTGTACTAAAAATCCCACGAGATGAAATCAGGACAGTGCTACAGCAATGGGGCTTTCTCTCTGAGACTCAGCTGCAAACAATAAACTTTAATCAGACAAAGGAAAACGTTTCTCAATATGTTGCTCATGTCTGTGAGGTAATTTTTCATTTGGGAACTTTACTTGGGAAAATAGAATGGATGTTGAAACGCTGACAAAAACCCCCACATTCTTATCAAGAAATTAATTTTCTTTGGACATAACGCAGCATCAAATGGCAGTTTGTAGTCTGGAAAATGTGAAGCTGACCTGGTAATACCATAATTTTTTTCTGACTGATAGGAGTGCAGCACTATAAGCACAGTAAGTAGATGTTTTGAGCTCTAAGTTGCAGAACGTGGATAAAAACTCTTTGTATTAAACCTTTAAGAAACAGGTGTGTTTCTAAATTATAAAGTGAAAGTATTGATTAAGATGTCTACTCATTGCATAGTGCTAATTTAAATCTATTTTGTACAGGTAATGATAGTACTAGTTTATATTTTTCAGACTTTTCAGAAAGATTTTGAAAAATTTCCTTGGCCAGTGCTACTTCCATTCTGCATACTACAAGCAAAAAAAAGTTTTCTGATTGCCTCCTTATGTACTCTGATTTTGGTGTACTATGAGTTTTTATGTATGGTATCATAACCCAGACAGATACAGTTATTACTGATATGTCTTAAATTCTACAGATTTCTGTGTCACTCCCTTTGAATTTCATACTCAGATATGAATTACATGGGGTGTAGATCAAACTGCAGGCAAGAAACTGTTATTTTTGTTAGATAACAAATGTCATTTTAACATAACATTTGTTTCTGAAACATTCTTGTCTGTAACAAGTAGTGTCATAAAATTTCTTAAAAATATTTTTGTGTAGTAAAAGTTAAATAAGGAGGAACCAAACATGTCAAAATTCCTGACTGAAATACTAGTCACTGATGCATAATGTCATGAATACCCATTAATTTTACTTTCCAGTTGCTTGTACATCATACTACAAGGACAATGTTGTTCTTGCTGCCTCTGCTGAAACACTTAAACCTCACAGAAATAGATTTTGTTATTAATTTCTCAAAACTCTATTGTGTACATATTGGGACTGCAATGTAATTTAAACTACCAATACTGATGTGTTTCACTTGCTAAACAGTGTGGCAGTGTGTTCTTGACCTGCGATTCACCGTGCATTCTTATTCTTCTTTCCAGGAAAATTCTGTAGATATAAAGCAAGCAGCTGTCTTAGACTTAATTTGTAAGTAAAAAATGAATGAAAATAACATATTTTTATTTTTTCTGAGTAACTTGGTAATGCCCTTAATTACGTAGCTGTTGCCTTAGTGAGGTACAGATACATTTGGTGTAAACAGATTATACTTTAGATGATTAATCTTACTGGATTTGACCTTCCTAAAAAAAATCAAAAGCTCAAAATCAACAAAACAATGTTTGCATATTCTTAAGTCTAAATAGATGTAAATTATGGTAAGCCGCATCCAGCACTCAGTTATAAGTATAGAAAGATACATTTGACTCCAGTATGCACCAAACCCTAAAATCAGTAATAGTGTGCTGCAGTAGGGAGTGACATAGGCAAAATTATCCGCAAATACTCCAGGTGGAACTCTAACTCCAATACCAATTCACAACTTGATTATATAGTAGTTTAAATCTCAAGGTTTCTTTTAACAGTCTATACTTAGTTTGAGTTTAGACCAAGTTTCAGTCATTTTAGGTAAAATCCTTCTTTAAGTATTGAACTTCAGAGATATCCTTTATGTATTGCTTAATGGAATTTGGGAAGATTATCCTTTCTCTTGTAATAAAAAAAAAATTTTGCTTTTAGGTTTACTATGAGTGGTAGTTTAAGAATGCTGAGTGAATTATATTGCATTATCAGTAGTAATCTTTTAGAAATAACATGGTCATAAAAGTATTGGGAAATTATTTGTTCCTTTAATTACCATTTGTTAATACATTCTGTGACTGAGCATTTCCTATTTTTCTTAGACAACCACATCCACTCAAACAAAAGAATGTGGAGTGTTTACCAGATGAGCAAAACAGGTAAAATGCCTTTCCTTGCTGTAATCTCACAGTTCTCAGTTATTGCGGTGCTGCCTCATATATTACATTTTAAACACAAATATAGTCTAGTATGGCTTTTTCAATAGAGATATCTTTAATGCTTTTAAAATACTTTATTAACTTCTAAAGCAAGTTTTAGAAATTTGTAGTTACTTATTAAATATTAACCCTTTATATAGCAATATTGGGACTCAGATTTAATATACATCTTTTTGTATAAGGCTATGCAACTTGAGCCTTTTCTACTTAATTTTGTTTCAGCAAAACTGTAAAAACATCTCTGAACTAGTTCTTGTAAACACAATTCTCATTGTTTTTCTTGTGTAACAGGGGAAGAAACAGAATTTTTTGACTTAACAGATTTCAAAACAAAATTTAAAAGACAACTTCGGTCAGCCTTGAAAAATGTAAGAATAAATCCATTCTAAATTTGTTACACAGCTCTGTTGTCATTACATTGTTTTCATAACTTCAGCAAGGTTTTTTTCTTACAGTCTGCATCAAAAATTAAATTGAATTATTCATTTGGAAATAGTAGGAACTGCATGTGAAATAGGAAAAATGTATTGCATATGTTCTAGCAATTTTACAACTACGTTTTATTTCACTCCAGTGTACGTTTGTCTTAAAATATGACACACTTTGAGAAGGTCAGTATGTTTGTTTTCTGTTAAGTTTTTGCCCTGTTTGAGTGTACATGTTGCTTAGGTAAGTTAGTACTACTTTGTCCTGTTACCCAATAATAATACAGAAAGAACAAAAAAATCAGCTCAGAGTATAGGTGGAATTTGAAGTAGCCAGTAAGCAGGAAAAGGAAGTTCAGTTATTATGACTTAAATTAGTAGCAAAGTTGTATCCATTTCCTTTTAGTTCTGGTTTTGAAATGATATTTTTTGATGGCTGTGAGAGCTCGGCCCTGGTGTCTCATTACATCGCAATGACTAGAAGACCATGGTCAATAGCGAGAAGCAGTTTCTAGACTACAGAAATGAGCATGGCAAGAAAAAAATTGAAAGGAAATACTATAATCTCACTGTTTCAGTAAGCAACGTGCAGAAACTTTTTCTTGCTCTAGCTCACTAGCTTCATTTAAGCAAGATAATAGAAGATGCCTCTGGCTAGTTAGCTATGTCACTTGTTGACTCAGAAAGGATTCCCACTGATAACTGCAGAGGACAATAAATATAAATCAGACTAATGGATATTCAGCTGCAGTTCATATAACTGTTATGGAGCTTTGCTTTTTTTTTTTTTAATCTCAAATCCACAAAAAGTTTGAGAAGTGATGTTGGTCCAGAAATTTGAACAGTTTATGACCTAGTTGGACTAAGAGCTTGACTACGTGTGCCTCAGTCAAAGGGAGGGTGTGGGTTTTTTCTGAACGTTTGTAACCCAGGCTGAGTCAAGTCAAAAAGAAGTGACTGAGGGGCAATTCTACAAAAACAGGAAAGAGAATCTTCCTCAAACCTATGATTGTGTATTCTTGAGCACTGATAAATATTATATTCAGACCTAAAATCAAAAGTTGATCAAAAGTTTACTTTCTCAAAAACTTGACATACTGCCACTAGACCTCCATCTAAATAGGCACCTTTTTTATTTTCCCAAAAGAGAGAATCAGGGCTTTTTTAATAAGCTATTTTTATATTCACCCTTCAGAAGAAAATGTACATCAACAGAAAGAAAATTCATATTGGAGTTTGAAAGATGATGGTGAGTTTTTTCCAGTCTGTAAGGTTATTTTTATGTGGAAATGTGATTTAAAAGCAATTTTGACTACGCTAGAGGTATTTGTTTCTTATTCAAGTAGTGGTGCACTAAATTATGTTTGGGCCTTGTGAATACAGGTTTAAGAGATAACAGAATCTTTCTGGACACTTGAATGTGCTGGTAAATCAAAGCTTTTCTTTTTCTGCTTAGGTCACCATCAACCTTAGAGAATATGAGGATAATGCAATCTGGATTAGAATTGCCTGGGGAACACAACATACAAAACCAAACCAGTACAAAGCCAGTTATGTTGTATACTATTCACAGACTCCCTACGTCTTCATTTCTCTCTCAATTCTTAAGAGCAACTTGCCTCTGCTATGTCAGGTACAGAATAAAACTGTGTAGACCCTGACTTCACCAGTCATGTAGAGCTATAATTGTGTTAGCTTATAAGCGGATGGGTAAGGATTCATCACTTAATGTAACTTACAAATTTACTTTTTTTTTTTCTTTTCCCTTAACTCATGATAAAAATGGGGCAAGAAACAATCTTTGTGACCCTTGGAATGGTGAATAAATTCAGTTTGTTGGGATTTTTGCTGACCTTGAATTTTTCTAATTTCTTAACCAAATGTTAGGCAATATTTAATTAAATCAGCTCATAGAAGTTGAATAATATTACATCAACACAGTTAACTTCAAGAACTAAATGTATGAGCTCATAAGGGAGTGCTATTAATTAGTTTTAAAATACATTGTCTGTCAATTCATGGTGACCAGCATTGGTAGTCTTCATTTTTAGCAGACCTTTATACTAATAATTTCATTATTTTATTAATCTGTTTTATTTATTTATTTTTCAGCTGATAAGGCTTTCTCACAGGTTTATCTGGTTAACCCTGTGAATGCTTTTAAGTATTCACCTAAGCTTAATCACAGTCTACTCAACGTTTTTTCAGACATGAGAATCTTACTAGATAAAGGGCAATTGCTTACCTTGAAATAAAAACATCTCAATGTCTAGAAATACTATATTTTTTTCCATATTATAAACACAGTGATGATTAAGACTAATGTTAAAACAATTTCAATTTCTATTTAAAGGCTCTGGTTGTTGCTTCCAATTACCACGACATCCGCGAACTGGAGCTTCGAGGTCATTGTTTAAACTCCCTTAAAGATATTGTGTTTAAGACATATAGCCAGGTGAGCCGCTTCAAGTACTTCTAAGATAAGTCTTGCTTTTTGTTTCAGGCCTAGTTCTTACCCCCTAGCAGAGGGAAAATTCACTTCTCCCAAGAGACCATCAAGTTTAAAGTAATATTGAACTACTGAGGTAGACCGCCTTTCATTAAGGTAACATTGCAGTGGCGATGTAATTGGTATCCCACCTACTCTTTAGTATTGTTAGTCCTGATGGTTAAACTCAGTCTAAAAATAGTATGAACAATTCAATCCTAGGATTTTTTAACATCATTTCACAAGGCTTCCTAGAGCAATGAAGCCTATTAGAATGGGCACTTACCTCTGCTTGTCCATGTAAAAATTGCAAATAGTGACATGTTCACAAATATCATAGGACAGGCATTCTTTTTTCAAAATAAAGCTGGACAGTAGTTGTAAAACATTGGAAGAATACTCACTTTCTGAATGAGAAATAAAAACAAATCTGGAAAGTTCTTTTCAGCTATAGCCTCTAAAAGTGGAAGTGAACTAAAACCTTTTCCTTTCTCTGTTTAGAATTTCCAAACTTGCTATCCAAGACATATACAAGAAAAGAATGTAGCACCAAAAAGTGGTATGTATAAATTAAACAATAATTTGAATGTCATTACTGCTGGCTTATGAAATGAGAATCATAACAGCAAATGTACATATGTTACACTGGCATTGTATTATCCATCTCTGGTGGAGTGACATAATCCTGGCTGTCACTAAAAGTGGTATTTTCCCGTGACTGTCATTGGACACAATGAAGAAACCCAAAATACTCAATTGCTAGTATCTACTTTCATATTAGCTTGGGTTATTCTGTTGGTCAGAACTGAAAATATAAATGATGGAGACAACTAGCTTATGGGGAAAAAAAAGATTGTGATGAATTCTTTAAAACTATTGTTTTCAGATTTTCACTGAGTAATCACCTGATCAGAAAACCAGTATTGTATCAACTGACAAAGCTGTCTTTCTGGGTTTTTTTTTCTTTTCTCTCTCTTTTCCCCTGTATCAGATTTAAGGATAATTCAAGAAAACAGGAATGAGAAAGAAAGAATGCAGAGAGCAAATTGGGAAGTTTTTAGTGATGGTCCCCAACCAAAACTCGAATTTGCACAATATAAGGTTACTTTTTTTACAATTTTAATATAGTAGTAGCTACATTAAACTGCAAATTAAGAAAAATATAGTATTTCTTCAATCTTTAGAGAGTACATACTTTAAAATAAATTAGTTAAAAGTATCTTTAAGACAGATTGGCATTGAGATTTGGTCAGACTACTAGATCATGTTTTAGTCTCAGCCTTGTGAACTAAGCATTTTGACTTGTTTTTGTAATAAAGGTAGACATAAACTGTCAGTGTGTTGAAGCATGAGCAATTAGGGTTATTTGAAGTACATGCAAAGCTCATGTTACATATAACACCATAATTTAACTTTGGTGATGCACAGATTTTATCTGATGAACAGTTATATTGGAAATTTTAAGATATATTTAATGTTTTACAGTATTACTGAACAAGCTACCTCTTTCAGCAGGAAACTGTTTACCACATGGTGGCACCCTCTGATTTTCATTAAAATATTCCTCCAGCTGGAATCATGTTAACATTAGAAAGAATAGATAAATAAGATACAGTCTTATCACATATTACATTTTTAACGTAATTTTAAAATGATAACATATAAAATATTAATTGCTTTTACTCCCTGGTTAAATTTTGTGTTAACAGCTTGATACAATGTTTAAAGGTGATCCTAAAATGAATGTTTTGGATAGAAGAGAACCATTCAGATGTCTGGTCAAGTTTTCTAGTCCACATCTTTTAGAAGCACTGAAATCCTTGGCACCAGCAGGTAAGTGTTCGAACTCTATAAAATGGAGGAAAAATCCACAGTTTAATATTTGTCCTCTTACATTCTGCTTGTATCTTGCATAAACTGTGAAAGTTCTCCCTTAGTTATAAATACATGCAAATATAATAATGTTACCACTGTAAAAACTTATGTCTAAATAATTACCAGTTTGTTCTTGGAATTACTAGTTTGTACATAGATACCCAAGCTGTCTTTTTTTATAACAGTTAAGAAAAGTAAATATTGGTTGAGTTAAGCTATATTTATCTGTCTCTCTCCAGGTATGGCTGATGCACCACTTTCACCACTACTTACATGTATACCACATAAAGCTATGAATTATTTTAAAATTAAAGATAGAGAAGGTATCTCTGCAGGAAGCTTTGTAAGCCCTTAATTTAAAACTGATTCGCTGAAAATATACAACTCATTTATTAGTGGTATCAGTCTAAATCCTAATAAATCTCAAAACGGATTTTTTAAAAGTAACTTATTCTTTGGTAATACCTTAAAGTTTTTTTCCAAATTAAGGCTGCTTTGAATTATTTTTCCACATTTGTCTTTAACAGAAGATTTTGCCCTTTCCTTAACTAATAAAAAAATGACTTGTGAAGTTTAAACAGACGTAGTGGTTATTTAAAACTTAAATGTGATGACTGCTATTAACTATCTTTAATAGCATTGGTGAAGTTTAGAGCTAGTTAAAGCTCTTTAAAGATACGAGACAGCTGTAGCTGCTTGGTTTACTATCATAGCTGTAGATGGCCAAGATATTCTTGGTGCCTCCTTCTTTCAGCTCCAGTTCAGCAGTGTAACAGAATATGTGCCCCAGTTTGAACATCTGAATAGTCCTATTCAAGTCAGTGGGACTACTTGTCTGCAGGTCAGGCGTGGTTTTGTCTTGGTAGATGAAGATTATATTCAAAGACCATTACAGGGCATGGGGAAGAAGGGACTCTTGAAATATAGATGTCAGTTAAGAGTTTCCATCCAGCTTTAATGGATATTAATACAGGTCCAGTGGTTTTACTTGTCAAGAGCAGCAGCCAATAATAAATACTTAAAAAAAAAAAAAAATCTGTCTATTGGTATTAATGTCTTACAAAATTTTATCTTAGTGGAATACAGTGAAACAGGCAATACTTTTTTTTTTTTATAGGAAGTCCATGGTTTAGAATATTTAAATTAAGATTTGATCCTTCTTCAATCCTTGCACACTACTGCTTTTTTGTGCTAGGGGATATAAAGATTGCAGAATTGGGATAGCAACATTCACTAGTGCAAATATCTTTGCACTGGAGTTCTTTAGAGCTGGTAAATTGTTAATTATACAGGTATTTTTCTGTAACTTGCTGCATCAGTTTTAATTTGAGATGGATTTGATCTGAAGATTCAGTTATCGTGTACAAGTGTTCCTTTTTGAATAGTTACCTGCAACCTTTGTGCATGTACGTTGTGTATATGGAATTTCCAATTTGCTTTGGGTATGTCAGTATGCAGAGGCAGTCTTCATAACTTCATGGCTCAGGGTAAATATTTTGAGAAGTTGGATGGGAATGATTTTGGTTTTTAAACTGTAAATAAATGTGTAAATTAAGTCTTCTCCATAGAAATTGGTTTGGCCTGACTTGGAAACATGACTTAAGATACCGACTTTGGTTTGTTTTGTTCTTCAGCGTCTCTGTATAACTTGCACATAAAAAGAAGTTAGTTTATCTGCTAGGGATATATATTTAGGACTTTCACCTCTGTGATTTGAATGGTAGTTTGACAAAATACTTAATGTTAGGATTCTGAAGCAATTCCAGGTTTTGTATGATACTCAGAATGTGTGAGCTAGCTCTTTGTCACTCATACCCTCACGCAGTCTTCCAGGAGTCAGACCCATTATGCTTCCAGTATGCATTTCACTCTGTGCAACTTTTTCTTCACAGTGCTCTCTCAAATAACTTAAATGCCTGAGCTAACGATGATTTACCACAAAGTTCCAAAATACTCTAAAGCAGTGTGAGCACCTGGCCTAGTGCCTGTTTCTGCAGTAAGGTGGTCTCCATCGCCTTTTTAACAACTGAAACATTGGTCTCTAATTTTCAGATACACATTTCATCTCTAACTTCCTGTAACCCAGGCGGCTGTAGGAACGGGGCAGCCCAATCAGGCTGAGGGGACAGGGGCTGTACCCTGAACATGAGGGCCCAGCACCTCCTGGGAGCCACAACCATCACCTCCCTCCAGCTCTCCTTTCACTGGCCATGCTCTAGGGGAAAAAGCTGTGCATTGTGTCATTGCTTCTTTAAAATGCAAGTTTACATCAATAAATGAATGCAAAGTATCTGCTGTGCAGGGGGATGCCACAGCCCCATCTACGCCGGGGAGAGTAACGAGGGGAAGGCTTTTTCACACGTTCTAGCTCCTTGCACCCTCTAATGTCAACATGGCAAGTTTTTTTGTTTGTTTGTTTTTGGTTTTTTTTTTTTTTTTTTTTTTTTTTTTTTTTATATTTTTATTTTTCCCGTGGAAGCGTTCCTCTCACCGCCCCGGTCACCGCCACAGCCCTCAGCGGCACGCTGACGTCAGGGAGGGGGCGTGGCCGGGCCACGCGCCTGCTGAATATTCAACAGCGGCGCGGACTATTGGGCCGCCGCCCCCGGAAGTGGGGAGGGGCGAGCAGCTGACAGCAACATGGCGGCGGCAACGGCGGCTGCAGCCGGGCGGCGTGGCGGGGGGTTGGGGCGGCCGCCGGCGCCCGTGCCCGTGCCCGTGGGGGACGTGCCGCCCGGCGGGGAGCTGGTGCGGCCCTCGGTGACGGAGCTGTCCCAAGTGAGGACCAACATCCTCTGCACGGTGCCCGGCTGCGGCAAGGTCCTGCGCAACAGCCCGGCGCTCAACATGCACCTCAGCAAGGCCCACCCGCTCCAGGTACCGCCCGGCCCGGCCCTCGCCTCCCCGCCGCGGGGCTCTGCCGTGGCGCCGCTCCTTCTTCCGAGCTCCGGGGCTGCCCGCGCCTCTTCCCCCGGCGCTGCCCCCGCTGCGAGGCCGCCGCCTCGGGGGAGGGGAGCCGCGCCCGCTCGGCGGGAAGGACCAGGCCCCTCCGGGCCCGCGGCCGCCGCGCTCGGCTTGGCGGGGGTTTGCTTGGCGGAGTGTAGTAGGGCTCGGAGCGGGGCGGGGTGGGTGGGGGTGTGTGCCAGATGGTCATAATGAAGGGTTTCTCGTCGTTTCTTGCCCGAATCTCCCCCCACGTGAAAAGCGTGCGCGGGTACGTGTATAAACACCCGAGTGTGTGCGTGTGCGCGGGTTGACCAGCTGTATTCAGAGTTCCACTAAAAACTCCTCACAGAAAATAACCAATTCTATACCAGTGTTCAACGTAACTAAGGCAGTTAGAAGTTCTTTGGGACTCAGTTTCTGTTCTTTCATTTGCTTCTTGCTCGTCTTTCCGCAGTGAGACATTATAGCCCCACTTGTGAGGTGCTAGGCAAACATACTGGGTTTCCTACCCTGAGCAGTTGGCAAGCCGTCGTAATCCAAACGCTGAGTGCTGTTATGCTGGAGTTTTTGTTTGTTTTTTAAAAATGTCTGTGAGCCAAAAAAAAACCTAGAGGGATGCCATTTTGGAAACAAGCCCTCATTACCATAGTACTCCTGAGAAAACGGCAGCATGTACTAAGGGGGAGGAGAGCCACAGTTCAGCAAGCATATATTTGCATGTGGGACTTTCAGAAAGATACCCTTTTTTGCAAAATCATAATGCTAAGTGTGTGAGGACAAATCCTATTCCTGGAAAACTTCAAGCGCAGCATTCATAGCTGCATGCCGAAAATCCAACCCCAGTGGGCAAACAATAAACATACTTGTTTTGTAAAATGGCTAATTACAGAATCGGGAGTGTGTTACAGCTGATCATTTGTGGTGAACAAAAGGAAACGGTTTCAGACATACTTGCCATCTCCTATCTCTGTTTTAGTTCATTTCCTAATATGCGCTAACAACTTCTGTGTGTGTTATGTATTGTATCTCGTATGTACATACATGTGGAGGTACAACAAAGTTGAAAATGTTTGTTCAGGTCCAGCAGACAGTTGTTTCAGTTGTGAGCTTGTGCTCAGAGCGTCTGCAGCTGCTGGGTTGTATAACTCAAGTTTGGGGTAGGATGGGTGAGGAAATGCTGCTTTCTCACCAATTGCCTAGGTAGCTGTTAACCTGGTCACCTGCAGAATTATAACATATTTCATACACCCATTTACTAAATCTTGTGGTAGCTTGGATAAATACTGAAACATGGATGGATGTAGATTTTCAGGAACACCTGACTTATTCCAGGGGCATTGTAATTGAGAACCAAATGTTACTGAGGCTTAAGGGAGGCTAATTTTTCTGTACCATGTCTTAGATAAAATATCTTCAGTCTTATGCGTGGCTTGACAATGCATCTTGAATGAACGGATAAAAATAAGAAGGTAAAAAGTTATAAATCTAAGTGTGTGTTACTCTGTTTTTTCAGAAAGAGATGGTCTCAGACTAATATTTTAATACTAGTATTTCCTTTTAAGAGATAACTGATTCCTCAGGCAAAAAGAATTTAGTAGATTGCATGTGTTAGTGAAACATGAATAATTAGTGAAGAGGCAACTTTGCACATGATATGGTAAGAAGCTATTGGGGGGGGGGAGAGAACGTAGTAGTGCTGAAGAGAAGGGAGGTTGACTTTGTTGATTTTCATTAATAAAAGTAACAACAGTAGGATCTTTTGATACCAAAAGCTACAAGGTGTTGTTGCTGCAGAGGAAGGAAATTTACATAGGAAAGTAAGATTATCCTGTGAAAACAGTCAAGTGCGGTAGTACAAGGTTGTAGTCTTGTGAAGTGATAACAAAAAAAATTTGATCAGTCCTGGCTTGTAACAGAAATCACGGAGATGGGAAACACTTGCAAAAGCTATTTGGTCCTCAGTGTACAAGCATTTAGGGCAATTCTAAAATATGTCAGAATGATATTCTCTGTCACTGCTCTAAAGTAAAGAATCTGATTCAAATAAGCTTAAATGAATCCAGAAGAGGTGTAGAAAAGGGCTGCTAAGGGTGATGAATGGCAAGTGTGTCTGAGAAATGGAAATTAGAAGAATTTGTCTTGTTTGGCCTAACAAAAGAAGGTTCACTGAAGTGTTGATATATAAATGTTTGTTTTCTGGCTCCTTAGCTTAACTAAGCCAATGAAAAATGGGAAGAGTGGGTATAAAATAGCACTTTAATATATTAGGCTTGACATTTTTTTTTTTTTATTTCTTTGATCTTTTGTCTGTATTATTTTATGGGGGGAAGGGTAAGATTTCTGTGTAGTTTAGAAACAAAGCTAGAGGAGTTCATGTAAAGGAGAGGATTCTGTGGATTCCTATGATAGCAGGGAGGCTGTAGTCAGTGCTGGACTGGAAAGGGTAGCTTACCCTTGGGTAGGTGACCCAAATGCAAATATTACACTACCACAATAGTTTTCATAAAAAGAATAAATGCACATCTATCAGTGCTATTTCGTGAAGAAATGCATGATCTGCTGCAAAAAAAATGTTTTAAGTAGTTGGCTGCAGTCTACTGTAACTTACTATTTTAAATTAATCCTTTGGAGTCAGCCTTTCTGTTGCAGGGAAGCAAGAATTCAATATGTTCACCTTGACTAAATCAGTAGCCAGTAGCCATGATCGTTACTTTTAATTTTCTGTGTTGTTGCCACAAGCTTTGTCTGAATGTCAGTATTCCTTAGAATACAAGTGTCTGCATTGTGAGAAGTTAATTGAGGAAGTATCTACCTATAACTGCGGTGGATGGCTATAGTAGAAAGATAGGAAGTAAAATCAGACATACAAGGAAAAAACTTGTGAGAACCTCTGAAATATGACTGGCCAGATGGGCTTTTGAGATGTAAGATTAACCATTTAGAGCCAGGAGGACTTTGAAGGTAGTCAGACAAGATTACTGTCTGGATAGGGTTACTTATATGTGTAGAATATCTCTCAACTTGTCACAACAAATCTGTTGTGATCTGTGCCTTGAAAGTCTATGTTCCAGCTGTTAAAAGAGCCTCTTACTCATGTTTATATAGCTTTTAAACACTTGGTGTTATTCTATACCTTAGTACTTAAGTAGTTTTAAGTAGCCTGACTGGTTTACCTGTTAAGTGCCTGAACATATTTCCCATATTGCCCTCGAATTTGTGGGGTTGTGACATTAGATATAACACATCTCGAATAACTTTTTACTTAGGAATAAGTAACTTCCAGAGACAAAACATAATTTTGACTTAAAGGCAAATCTTTTTTTCTCCTGAAGACTTTGAGACTGGCATCTGGCCAAAGTGTTTCTGGGTAGATTTGGGGTTAAAAAGTGTAATTGGGGATAGTGGGACTGGAACAACTAGATTTCTTTGAGTCATGTTCCTGTTTTGGGCAGTGGCTCTAGGAGGTGCAAAAATAATCACAGTAACTACTCAGCAGAGATAAAACAGGCCTGGTTATGAATGGTTTGTCTGTGGGAAAAACTGCTGTACATGAAGATGCTTAGAATGTTAAAACACTACAGGAAAACTCCCTTTCTAGACAATTATTCCAGGTTTTCTTGATGAAATTGTAGCTGATCATTTTGGTGGAGAGAATCTAAACTTTACCTGAGTACGGTATGTCATTAGCAAAAAAGAACTTGTGGCAGTGTCAGCAAGTAGCAGTGTCGAGTGTGTGGAAACATAACTGAAGCACTTCTTGAAGGGATTACATTTTACAAGGTATTTTAGATTGAGAGATTATTTGAGGAAAAACAAAATCACTGAAGTGTGCCACTCATCTCCTTCATTGTATTCCTGAAGTGCAAATGAAATGAATACTTCAAAAGCAAGGCACAAGTAGCTCAGAACAGAGTTGTTGGGTTGTGCCTAACTGCAGCTAGGTAAGAAGTGGGGGGGCGAGCAGTGAACCCCTTTGTGTTCTGGCAACTGCAGCACATACTTTCTGTTTGCCTCACACAGGAGGACTATTGCGCTTTGCAGATTCTTTATGTTTGGTCTAACCTGTGTAAACACAAAGCAGCTGGAGATCTGCCCAAAGAAGGTAGTTAGGGAGTGACTGGTGTAAAATCAGCATTCTGCCACTTACTGTGCTTACAGTCACTGCCATTATGCTGAGGAAAATCAGGTGCGGAGCTCAAACAGAGCATGCTCTGGTAATTCTCCCCTGATTAATCATCTTGGGGATGCCATCGTGGGCTAGTGTAACTGGCTCTGGGGACTTGATTGGCCTCCTACTCAGTCTCGGGATGTAAGGATACTCACAGCTACTCTGAGGATCAGATATTTAATAGTTCACTTAATTTTTTGCTTAGACACAGATGTCTGATGTTTCCACCGAGACCCTTTCAGATAGGGAATGTCTGGAGGGATACATCTTGTCTAGTTTTCATGGCTATGTCCTCAATAGGAATAGGTTCTATGTGCTTGAACAATCCCATCAGTGTGCCCTTTTTGTATGTACTTTTGAGGTCCTCTTTGAGCAAGTTATGTTGCTTTCTTCTGTTGTGAACATGTGATCATGTGATGGTGAGTGAGACAGGTCGCATGGAGAGCACAGGCACTTAAGGTTTGGAGGTTCAGAATTAGCATATAGTTGTTAGTTTCATAGACTCATGTGAGATTTAGTTTATGGACTGAATTAAGTGGCAGAGTGTACTTGTCATTTTTCTCTTTATTACAAGTTAACTCTAAATAGTGCCAGTAGAATTCCAACGTCAGGGAAGTGTTGTGTTACACAGTGTGTGACTAACATTAATGGAGCTTCAAGTAGCCTGTGCTACTAACAAGTAAAACCACATTGAATTGGCAGTGTAGTGTAGTGTAGTATCTGTAGGGAGAGCTTTTTGGCTCAAATAACACAAAAGGCAGTTATAGTTGGCTTGGGTCAGTGTAGAGCATGTTGTAATTTCACTTGATAATTTTGATGGTATATTTGCACAGTAGCATCCACATAGGTGGAAAAACTCCATCTGAACTTTCAAATCATTTGGGAAAGTGCCTTCAACTCATTGAGGTGTGTAAACTCCGCGAGCCAAAGTTGATGTGTATTCTGAATGTTGTCTTTAATATGCAAACCTGTAGAGTTGTCAACTTCTCAACTGGTTCTTTTTCAGGATGGAAAAATTAATGCACCAATAAGGAAGGGTTTGAAAACTTCACAGAAATTCTACTGCTGTCCGATTGAAGGCTGCCCTAGAGGACCAAACAGACCATTTTCCCAATTTTCTCTTGTAAAACAGGTATTCCTATTTCCTAAGGTATTATTTTTATACTGATTTAGTCCTGTCTGACTCTACTCCAGAGTGTACTTCTGCATTCAGATATGAGCAAAGCCTCTCAGCGTGTACCCAGAAGTTGGAAAATTGTATGCAGAAAATCCACATGGGCATATGGTTAATGAATTTGCATGTCGATATTAGAGGCCTTGAACATTTTGATCAGGCAGATGCCAGTATGTTCTGCTAAACTAGAAGACAGCCCCTCTTCACAAATTGGAAAGATGGAGGAAGATCAGAGGAGGGGGGGGCGGGAATCACAGTAGCAACCAATAAAGGTTTAAAATGGGGCTGATACTTTTAAACTGCTTTTCAAGTGGCCAAGAATTAAGAGTTTTTCTCTGCTTTAGTATGAAAATGCATTTGTTTACCAGTTACCTGCTTAAGAAAACATGTAAGACTTGTTTCTGCATGAATGAGTAAAAAAAGCACTCTTCTATTGGTTACCTGCGCTAAGCCAGGGACACCATGGGAGATGAGTGGCTAGCACTTGGTGCTGTACATGAAAAGGAGAAATTCTGGTGTTTGCTCTGAAGGTGACCTGTTTGAATTTAGACTATTTGCTCAGTTGTAGATCCTCAGGAGTGTGCACATGTTGCAACATATACTTACTACGCTCTTTGGCAAGATTGATCTACAGATTTGTTCGTGTCCATAGGAAACCTCCAATACTGTTAGGACACATAAATGTTTATCTGTTTTAAGATGCCCGTAGCACAAGCAGATTTGCAAACTTTAAATTCTTTCTGTTGATTTCTTTAAGCTTGTAATTTATTCCTAATAAGACTTCTAAAACTTTTTGAATTCTACTTTTCAAGGCTATTTAACAACTAAAAAAAAAATGCAAATATTAGTGTCTTTCCTAAACATGATTTTTCTTTTAATCTTAGCTGAAGGCTAATGTTTACTTTTCATTGTGTATTCTAGCACTTTATGAAAATGCATGCTGAAAAGAAGCACAAATGTGATAAATGTAGTAACTCCTATGGTACAGAATGGTACTTGAAACAACACATAGAGGTCTGTGGCAAGACTTTCCAGTGTACTTGCGGATGCCCTTATGCCAGCAGAACAGCATTACTGTCTCATATTTACAGAACTGGCCATGAAATTCCTGCGGAACACAGGTAAAAATGAAGCAGCTAAGTAATGATACATTCATCACCAAGTCCTCTGTCTCCCATGTACTGGCTTTTTGTCTCCTTTTCATTGACTAAATTGGAAATAGGCTCACATTGTTTTAGTTGTTAAGCAGTTTGCAGTTTCTTTGTTCTGTTGCTTTTAGTAGTTTCTGTTTTGTTGAAGGCAATTATGATTGTCTAATCAATAAGATCAGGTTTCCACACATCTGAAACAAAAAGTACTGATGACACTGCAGTGCATGGCATAAATGCTAGTTGTTCATGTTGCATCTGCTTTTACAGTTCTGTGAGAGTAGAGATGATTTGGAAATGTTTATAGCTGGTAACTGTGGTGTGGAATACAGCTGAGTTTATTTTCTTTCATAGTTTAGTAATCATTGCAAGTATTAGTTGGGGTTTTTTAATGCCTATATATGCATGTTTAGATTTATAGTTGTCTTAACGTGTACATATATTTCATAACGGGTGATCTGTTTCCTGAGGCCTACCCTGGAAAATCTCTGTCTTGGAGATTCAACTGCTGCAAAACTAAGTTTTGTGTGAAGGAGTACTAATTGCATTTTCAGTTTCCATGAGACACTTTTACCCTTCAACGCTGAGCCTGAGTTAGCATCAAAGTAAACAAAACATAAAAATAACAAATTAAACACGTCTTCAAATTAGAGTGCTTGATGTACAAGGGGGAAGAAATCATCTCAACTTCCACCTCCATTTAGAAATAGGTGTTTGTAAAAGAAGTAACCTTTTTCTCTTTTTAAATGGGAGAGTGAGGAATGAAATTTTACAAAACTGAAGTTCATGGAGTCTTTTTGTGTTTTAATCAGGATTAGTTGTCTTCTCATATCCAACCTTGTGTGACTTCAGTTTATATTTTCAGTGCAATGACTCAAAAGAATGGAAGGCAGATGTTCTGTGCTTGAAAGGAGTATAAATTATTGATCTCATGTTCACAGGGATCCTCCTAGTAAGAAAAGGAAAATGGAAACCTCCGTACATAATCAGCAGTTGGCAGAGAAAGCAAATGAAGCATTCATCAGTACACGCAATAACAATCCTGGCGCTCAGGAACTAGAGTCCTCTGAAGTGAAACTAGTGGCCTCTCTTGAAGGCTCCTGCAGTTCTAACTTCACAAACCAAATGCAGCCAAGAAGTACACCGAAGATGCTTTTACCAAAGCCTAAGGTGGCTTTGGTTAAACTTCCAGTGATGCAGCTTGCTCACTTGCCTATATATGTATTTGCAACAGAGTCTTCTGTCAAACCTGCTGTAGTGGCTGTTGATAATCGAGGTTCAGTTGTGAGTACTGTTCATCTATTGCCTCAATCTATAGGAATTCTGATTCCAGCACTGGAGGCAGAAACACTTGTATTTAAAGATACTATGCCTGTATCAAAAGTGACAAATTCTGGTGATCATGAACCAGTAAGTACTGGTGTACAAGTTGAGTTGGATAAGGTTACATCAAACAACACAGCACAAGAGCTGGGGAATGTTTGTCACAAGAATAAAATTTCTTCAATAAATATACAGACTGACTTATCCTATATTTCACAGAACTTTTTACCGGCTGCAGCCTGGACTCCCAGTTCTTCTGTATCCTCTTGCTCTCAGACAGATCTGTCATTCAGTTCGCAGGTTTCATTACCCATCAGTGTGCAAACACAGACACTGCTGCCTGCTTCCAAACTGACTTCATCCATAGCTGCTCAGACTGATGCTTTTAGTCAGGTTTGTTTTCCAACGTGTGGCATTTCTAGAGAGACCCAAACCAGCAGGACACAGGACTCTATTGATGGAAGAGTGCAGATGGACCAGGCTGTAATGTGTGGTGACATCTTTGACAATGTTCATTCATCATATAATGTTTCTACTCACATTGAACTTCCAGAAAACAATTTAATGCCTGCAAATATAGATCAAACCTTGCTGCAAAGGAGTAATTGCAAGAGCCTGAATCAAGATACGGTGAAGTCTGAATCCCTTATCAGCTTCAATACACAGACTAATATACTTCCACCTCAAAATACGATGGATAATCAAACCCAGACAATGGACCTGCTAAATGATCTGGAAAACATCTTTTCAGGAAACATGTCTGGCCAGACACTGGATAATCGTGGCCTTTTGTCTGAGACAAGTTCTAATGCTGACACACATTTGCCATCTGGTCCATCACAGAGCACGGGAATAGACTTTGACATTGAAGAATTCTTTTCAGCATCCAATATCCAAACTCAGACTGAAGAGAGTGAGCTTGGTACCCTAAACTCTGAGCCGGTTTTGGAGTCACTGGACATTGAAACTCAGACTGATTTCTTATTTGCAGACAGTGCCACTCAATCATATAGCTGCCGAGGAAATTCTAACTTCTTAGGGTTGGAGATGTTTGATACACAGACGCAGACAGACTTGAATTTCTTTTTGGACAGTAATACCCACCTGCCTTTAGGAAGTATTCTGAAGCAGTCTAGTTTCTCCATGAGTACTGACTCATCTGATACAGAAACCCAGACAGAAGTATATCCAGCTACTAAAAATATGCCTACTCAGAATACTGAAAGCAAAGTCCAACTCAGTAGCGCTGAAACACAGACTATGGATAGCTGCTTTGAGAATCTAGGGAGTTTATTCCTTACCAGCAACGAGACACAGACAGCAATGGATGACTTTCTTCTGGCCGACTTAGCCTGGAATACAATGGAGTCCCAGTTCAGTTCAGTAGAAACACAGACCTGTGAAGAGCTGTGCTCCTTGTTTCAGAGCTCTGACAAGCCCAGCCATTGAGTACCATGTGATATAACTGTTTCCTGGGATTTGAAATTAAGTTATTGGGGTAGGAGAGATGGCTTGACCAAGTTATCCACTTTGCATTATTGAATGTAGTTATCGTGAGCAGTTTGCCTAAGAGACTTTTCACGCTGAAGGTACTCTGTTGAATATGTAACTTTACATAAGCTATGTGTGTATAAATGGAGGGGAAGACGGTTGTAACATGTTAATGGACATTTGAACCTTAAGAAAAGACTTACGTGGTGCCTATGTCTTTTCCTCAAACTTCTTTACAAAGCTGATACTGCTTTCATTTAAACGGAAGAACTTTTAAAGTTGTTCTGTAGATATATAGATATATACACACACATGTATTTATTCCTGGCTTACATACGGGGTTCCAACGTGCTGGACCAAAACCCTGACCTGTCCAATTCAGATGCTTCTCTGAACTCATGGGGGAGGATTCTATTAGTGTAAGCTACTTCTGCTTACTTTTTTTAGTAGCTTGTATTTTAAATCTGGCATGAACATAATAAGCTGTATTATCTTCTTTTACTTTATGCCTTCACAGCTCTTTCTCCTACATAAGTTGGTATTTTCCAAATACCTGTCCAATACACTAGACACATATAGACTCTTGAATGGTTGAATATATTTATTATTAAAAATACGTAGAAAGCAGTACTTCTTTTATTTTTTGCCCTGAGTGGCACTGATACCCTTTGAAGGGTAGGAAGAGAACTTGGAATACATAATTGTAGGGAAAATTAGTATGTCCTCCTTTTAGCTAGTGTAATAAATGGGACTAAAATTTTTAGAGTCTTCAGGAGGGATTTGCTTAAATTATTTCTGTCTGTAAGTTGCAAATGTTATAATGTGTGTGCCTCAAAGACTGGAATAATTTTTTTTTCTGAAATTCTCCTAGCTTTATTAAGATAAAAGTTGAGAAATGTCAAAGTGATTTATACCTCTCTTACCTTAACAGAAATATTTAGAAATGGGAAATTAAATTCTCTAAAATGCTCACTCACCTAGACTCCTCGTTTTGGACTTCCCATTTCCAAAAAAATTGGAATTCGTACAACAGAGCTTGGAGATCAGCTCACAGAAGTTCTTTCAGAACAGCTGTATCTTGCTTTTGCGCATTGATCTGCAGACATCAGTTCCTGCAACTTTTAGAGAGTTTTTCTGAGTATAGTCAAATACAAACTGATTTTTCAGAGAAATGTGTCACCTCTTTGAATTTTTCTTAATGTTAATCTTGCCCCTCCAGCCGTTGTGTGTAGTAGTTTTCATTTGCATGAAAAAAACCCTAAGCCAGTTGTGAATGTATGATGGAATTTGGCCTTAACAGATTTTTATCTCTTACTATAATACCTGCAAAATGTATGCCTCTGGTTTTGTCCTGGAGGGTTTTAGTTTCTGTTACCTTCAGTGAAAAGAGAAATCCCTTCGTGTCAAGTTCCCAGGCCTGTAACAGACTTTGTTCCTCTACTGTGAGAGGAGATGCATTGGCTGCATATTTATTAGCCTACCTGTCCATAAATGTGTGTCCAAGCCTTAGTTTTTGAAGACTCACTATGCTTTGTGCTTCATATCCTCAAAAAGGACGTGGGAGTTAAGTTACTCATCCATTGCAGCTAGCTTGTTTTCTTGAAAATGAACACTGCTTTTTTTTTTTTTTTGTCTATTCCTACCACTCTTTAAATTGCCATAGTTAGCACACTAATATGGTAAGCGTCTCTCCTTTTACTTGAAATTATCTCCTTAGATTAACCCTGAAACTCATATTTTCCACCTCAAAAACTCCTGAAACCACAGCTGTGTTGTCTGTTTAATTTTTCAACATTTCTAGGTGTGAGTTCAGACACTTGAAGTCTTGGCCGAAGAAACTGCAGAAAGGAATCTTGCAGTTCCCCCCCAGGAGTACAGTAATTCTGCTTTGGGGAAAGTCCCCCCAGGTTTCACAGTGCCTAGGGTTCTGATCCTAAAGGTGGGATGGGTTAAAAAGGAAGGCATTGCCTGTAATTCTGCTTCTTCTGGAGATACAACTGATTCATATTTACTTGCCTACTTTGAACTAGGGAAATAAATGGCAAAATTAGGTTAATTTATTCGATTGCATTGTTTTTCTAGTGTTGCTTCTTCAGGTTTTAAAGTGGTTTTCCTTCTTTCTTCCCCCTGGCTGGAATACCAGAGAACATCTCTTCATACATACGCTTCTGTTTCCCATGTGCAAGTTGTCAGTACTGACACATGAAAGAGAAGCAGTTATTATAAATCTGGTTGGGGAAAACTGCATTTCCCACGCTGTAGAAGGCAGAAACTGTTCATTACCTCTGAATTTAGAAAGCCGGTCTTTTTCCTGCAAGAGGAGGAATCTTAGGTGATGAGGGGCAGAATTACAGAAGGCTTTGAATTGTAGCCATCTGAGACACCAGCTAGCATTTAAAGAACTTTGAAACTAATTTACAAATCAGGATGAGAATTGCCACATTCTTAGGTTGTAAGTCAAATCTCTTAACATCAGTGGCTATCAGAAGAAGTCTTTAGGTTTGTGTGGATGCAATCTTACAATGTAATCATTACTCAGTTATTGTACTTTGTAATTAAAAGTACTTGAGCTTTGTGTGTTTTATTAGAACATGCAAATACCATTCCCTTCCCTCATCCTATGGGTTTAAAATAGTTTGAACTTTAAATTAGGTGAACACAGTACTACAACATGAAATTATTTATTGAGAATGCAATATTAATAAATTACTAAATATGACTGCATTGCCTTAGGGAAGTGGCTCATTCTGACCAAAATTAACTTGTTTCCTCACAGATTTGATTCTCTATAAATTGTCCATAAAAGTCAGAAAAGAGGCTGGATCCTATATTGCTGGCATAAGTAACTCAGTTTGGATTTATTAAGTGTTTTTGTGAAAATGTGAAGACTGCAACCAGACTTAATAGTTCGCTGAATCCCACAGTAAACCTAATGGAACCTGATCTGAAATACTGTTGCTCAATATTATGAACTCTTAATATTTGAACAAGGTCTTTAAAATGGCTAATTTTCTATTTTGGCCATTGCTTTAAAAATAAACTTCAGTCAGAACTGTTTCTTGGCAGTACTACAATGATACTTAACCTCCCTTTTTTTGTAGTTTGATTTGATTTTCAAGGCACTGTCTCTATTGTAAGTTTGTATTCTCTACTGTCATTTGAAGTGCTATATAAAAAGTAACATCAGATTCTCCACAGCCTCTTAGCACAAATTTGTATCTGGCAGTGATACTAATGTTATTCATACTTACACTTTGCATTTCCTGCTTAATTCTGTTACACTGTGATTGCTGGATCTTGATCTGGATGCCAGTGTAATGCTACTTGAAAATTGAACTAGCAGTTTTGTAGTTTTACTTGAACTTTTCTTTAGTATGTTAAAAAAAAACAACCAACCAAACAAATGAAACCTAGCAAATCTGGGACATGAGAATATAGCAAAACTTAGCAAATTTGGGACATGAGAACATAAGCACAAAACAGCTGAAAAATGAGAGGTGTCTTGTTGCTTTCCATATTTGTTTGTCACAATGCTAGAAGTCTGTATGACAGTAGATGTATGTTTCTTCTACTTTGGGCTTTATTTGCATATATTTTGCTAATATGCTTGTAAATACTTCTTTCTGCTCCTGGTAGGGAGGGAATCCTCCCCCAACTCTTCATGTCAGCTTATAGAAATTGGTAGTCTAAAGTCAGAGTTTACTAATGCTACATATTCTTAGCTATGCAAAGCTGCTTCTGTCTAGAAAATTTTCACTTCCAAAGGATATGAAATCTTAGAAGTATAAATTAAACAGCTATAAAACAAGCCTTGTGAGACCCTGTCTAGTTTTGAACAATTCAATCAGTGTTTGTAACTTAATGTATGTAACAAACACTCCTTACGAATTTTTATTCCAAGGTGCGCACGCAGTCCCTTTTTTCTGTTGAAAACAGAAGGCGGAATTCCCTGTTAGTCATATGTACCTTGATTGTGTAGAGGCAACAGAACAAAGAAATGCGACTGCCTTCTACTGCTTTAAATCCTTATCCTGCTAACACATGCTCACGAGCTTAGTCAGATCTGATTTTTTTTTTTTTTTTTTTTTTTTTTTTTTTTTTTTGGGTGAGGCTGGGTAGAGATGTGTGTTGGCAGGATTGGGATCGTAGGGTGTTAGGGGTTTTTTAATAGCCTTTCAAATATAAGGTAAGTCAGTAGGACTAGTAAATACTGAATCAACATAGGGTGCTCAACTTGCAAAAGAATATGTTACTGAAATGACAACTCAGAGGTGAACCAAATGTACTTGCCTTTATCATTAAGGTTGTACAGCTTCCTTTGCTTTAATATATTTCTGATGTGTGTTGTTTTTTTAAACATGATCTTAATGTACAATTTACTGTTCCAAATCCTTTTGCACCAAAATGTTGTAAACATTCTGGGCCTTGCAAGCTTTTTCATTCATGTTTGGTTGAAGGTGCTGCTATGCTTGTGTTTCTAGTAGAATAGTCCTACTGTTAACAGACTTCCATTAATAATTTTATATGAACACTATGAGGGACAGGTTTATTTAATAGTAGCAAGCTTCCATGCATGGTACAAACATGCATCTTCTGGTTTTTTCATTGTTTTTTAACAGTTGATGTGAATTTCACAGTGTGCTAGAAGGGTTTGCTGCTTAGAGCATGACTGAATTGTCTTGTTTCAAATGCCATTGCTATGCAATGAACAGAATCAAGGAACTACATTGTTCATCTCTGCATTGCCTTGCAGTCAGGTTAAGGGTGTGTTTGTATTCGTGCGTGTGACTCTTCCACTTCACCGAAAATGTAATTGGACAGCCTGAAACAGTGGAAATTCCTGAAGGAACTGCTGAGTTAAACAACAGAAGTCCTTTACTTCTGATTCTTATTCATATACTGGCTTTACGACAGTATCGTCAACATAACTAGCAGTGGAATACAATAGATGACTTGTGATGCTGTAAACTGTACATTTCACAACACCTAATGCTATACATGCATGCTTCAAGCACTTGCATGCAGAGCTAGATTGACAGTATTTGCAAGTGCATCTATGATAAAGCTAGATATGAAAGATAGCCATATTCTTTTCAGTTTACATAATTCAGCACCTGATTATGATCCAATTTAAACTTGTAATTATTTGGAATAGATGAGTAATAAATCTCATGGGTGAATCTTCTCCAAAGCATGTGTGAATTAATTTCAATAAGGCTAAGAAATGTCATTTAAAATATTATTCTTCACAGCACCAGTGGGATTTTGACCTAGTGGACAAATTTAGTTTTCACATGATGTCCATGTTTAATTCTTGCTATTTAAGCCAGTAAATTTGCAATGAGCAGACAAAAGCAAGCATTAATTTCTGAGACCTATGTAACAAGTGACAATCCCAAAGAAGGAATGTTGTCCTAGTAATTGTGAAACTTTTAAGTATATTAATGCATGCAGAGAAAAACTTGTGCCAAAATACTGTTTCATATTTCCCTCTGTTGGAAACTGAAGTGTTACACAAAGCTACTAGTAAGTTATTCACAAGTACTGAAACGTTTTGTCCACAAACTAAGCACTTATTTAGTCCTGTAAATTATACATATTTTGGAATAAAGTTAACTTCAATCAGTTTTTGTCTTCTGTTTCAATGGCTGTGATCTCCTGCCTAGAGAGGCAGGGGTGGGGTATTCAGTGCCTGTTGGCAAGTACCACCCGTAGCTCCTTAGCATTTTGCCTTTTGAAAGCTAGGTGTCTTTTGAATTGGTAAAGTTTTTGTAAATTAAAACAATCTTACAATGTCAGTCCTTGATCTCCAGAGGTGGCAGTTTTCCTATGTAGTCCTACTTCTCAGTCAGCCCTACAAAGTTTAAACTCATGACACAGGTGCTACATTTCATAAACTTGAAACAAATCCATTTGAGAGGGTCTCTGCTGTAAGTGTGCATAGACTTTCGTGCGGACTCTGATGCATACGGGCAGGGCTGGATTCTTCTGAGCAGCAGCATCCAGTCTGGCTGCACTGGTGGTGCTCCACCGCAGACCCCTCGGCAGGGTGTGCAAAACTTGGTCTTTAATTGCCCCGCGTGCACAGTGGAATACCTCTGTGGTTTCAGCTCACTGGCAGTTGCCTTTCTTCTACAACAGACTCTGAGGGCAGAAGGATTACGTTGCATTCCTCCTCTGCCTTACCATCCACCCCTCCTGTAACTGTCAAGATTTCTAGAGTCATAAGTAACAGCAAGTAGAAACTCAACTGCATTATGATAATTAGTTTTCAAAGTATCCTATCAGAAAATTACAGTCCTCTCTAACGGCTTTTATTATCTTGCAGTATATTTTATGTAACAGGAAATAATTTTTACCACTATGCATATTAAAAAAAAGCTGGAGTAGATTGATTTGGAGTGTGGATCATACTTTGTCCCTTTTCTTCCTATACAGTTCCCATGCTTAGTAATGATCCCACCATCTTCTGTTCGTTGAAGAATATGAAATACTGATTTCTACTGTTACCTTACATCTTGTATATATAATTCAGAGTAAATGGTCCTTGACTGAAAGTTCATTTGTACTCTTACATCAGCAAAAGTCACGAAGGAAGCATTCTCTGATGTACAGCAGGCTGCTGTTCTGTCGCGCCATGCTCAGAGGTAAGCATTTGCAAAAGGCCCTAGTGGTAGCAAAACATGGAAGATACTTCCAGAAGGGAGTATGTTGTAGGTATCTAGAAACTAAATTCCTGTTCAGAGCATTTAAAATTATGAAAGAGTCAAATGTATAAGATGCTGACTATCCTTTTAGGAATAATAGCCCTATTCCTACTGTAGGGATGATTCTGCTTTGTTTAGGCTGTTATTTCAGGCTTTTCATTATTCAGAACAGATTTGGCCCACGGACAAAACTCAGGTACCTTGGCAGACTGATCCTCATTAAACTTTCACAAATGGTGGACAGTGTAAAAGGCAGGATGAACTTTAACTCTCGATTGAGATGATAATGGCTGTTTAGAAAGGAAGCCTCCTGTATTTTTGAACTACTTTCTTGTTTGCTGTTGCTGAGAATTCACTTATTTTTTCTGCTGGCAGTGAAAGCATCCCTGACCAGTTTGTGATTAGTTCCTGAATTTCCTTCACTTAAAGAAATTGCATGCTGGCAAGCTGACTGCTTTGTGTCAAAACAATGGAATTAGGGGCAGATTTTCTTTCTGGCTCTGGGATTTGACAGTGAGTCTTCTGGAATCAGTCGTTTGGAAGTTTGGACCTAAACAGGGGGAAAATGTTGATTTAACTTTCAGGTGTTCCATCATTGTATTTTTACATTGTTATCAACAATTCCCTTTTTGTTTTGTTTTGACACACTGAATACAGGAAGCACTTCTAGCTGATCTAGCCCTTAAATTTATTTCCTTTCCTGAACGGGAATGGCTTTATTCCTGAGAGAATTTACATGTAAACAAGAAACTGCTGTTTCCTGTGCTAGAAGAACCCAGCTTATTCAAGGGCACATAACCTGATTAAGCTTATGATGGTTTAAGTGTTGTGTATTCCTTTCTTTATGCTCTAGGCCTTTAATTAGCAGCTTTTCTGGTCTTCTGCTACAGGTTTTGTAGCAATAATCTGAGAGTGTGGTTCTTACAAATATTTTATCAGGTTGTAGCAAAACCTCTGTCTAATCTGTCTGATTTGACGGTTTCAAAAACTTCTGCAAAAATCTTACCTGGCATAAAACACTGGAAAACGTGGAAATAAAGTTTATAGTTTTCCTTGCAACATTAAATACGTTTTTTCTTGTAGTCCAAAAGAATTTACTGCCTGGCTGCAATGGCTGAAACTTATAATTACTACAACGTTTGGCTTTCTTTACTGTTAATTGGTAATGCAGTTCATTTTTCAGTTTTCTCACTGAAGCAGCAGCATTTTCAGTTGTTTGAATGGGAGATACTCTCTTCTTACCTGGACTATGGAAAATGTTACTAGTTTCACAGGTACATATATTTTGAATTTTCTACTTAGTGGAAAACAGGAATGAAATAAGTATATATGGGTTTATTTATCTTGGGGCTATTTGTGAAGGATGCTTCTTTTGTAGAGCTTACATTTTATACCTAAATATGAACAACAGGATTAGAAAATATATTACCATAGGGGGAAGGGTAAAAAGAAGGGAAGAAAATGGTATGTTAGAGGGTGTGTCTGTTCTGTCAGAACATACTGCACTTGTGTAACTATAGCAGAGCAGTTGAATAGCAGTTAGGACAAGTTACTACAACAAAGAAACTGTGTTTCCTGGAAATTAACAGCAAAGATAGAGCTTGTCTCCAAACAGTCACTGGCTGAGATTTTCAGATATCCAGAGTATTGAAAGAGATAAAGGATGCATGTAGAAGATAGTATCAACTATAACGACCTATTTTTTAATAGCTCTTTGTAACTTTTTTATATGTTCTTTGTAACTTTCCCTCTTGACTTGCAACAGAATACCAGACAGGTACAAAAAATTACTGCCATTTCAGATTGAAAGTTTAGCTTTTGCTCTTCAGGAAGAGTGAAGGGATGTGGGAGACGGTAATGCTGTCAGCAGCCTTGTGCCGTTTCTGGCATTAGGTGCTTGTCTGGGTCACCGTTCAGTAGGTGGCACTCCTCTCTCCAGTACAGAGCTACTGTTGCTTGAAACGTCAAATTTGCTGCCAGAAAAATGGTGGCCCTGGTCTAACCTCCAGTGTGACAATCTCATACTCTGCACCTCAGGCTGATATGTCACTCTACTTAAAGATACTATTCTTAAAGCATTGTAACATACTTTCTATACAAATTAGTGTTCCAAAAGATTTCCAAATTTCCCTAAGCAATTCCCAGGAAAACTTGTATTGGGAAACAAAGCAAACTGCTTGGAGCTGTTAATTAACACTAGCACTCAGCTCCTATGTTCTCTAGAGGCTGTTTCACATGAGCATTGGGTGAAGAGATGAAGCCTTGTCATCCTTCCATTTTTTTAAAGGAATAAACACATAATTATTTAGATACATAGAATACATATCACCTACTTTACTGAAACTATGCCTCTAGAAGTTGGTAATTCTTTAACTCTGAAGTTGAGATACCTGGAGATGAACACAGTTAATAAACTGATGCCAGAAAACTGCTAAAACTACGTTTATGCACAAGTTTATTAGTAAAGAAATAAATATAAAAAGACATTGAAGTCCTCCATCTGTTTTATAGTGGGAACCATATGCTATTCGGAGCTTTGCACCAGTATTATCTTTCCCTATTCCAAATTTTTATCAAAGCATCAAAAGAGGGAAAGGGTAAGTTGCAATGAATCTCTGTTCTGAACGCTGAATTATTGCAGTTACCTTTGTATCTATGGAAAGACTGCTACTTTAGTTTGGGTTTTTTTGTTTAACACAAAAGCAAAAGAGAACTTGATTTGAAAGTTCCTCATTTAGTATGAAACAACAATAAGTAAATATCAGAATGCACAGAATGTGTATTAAACAGAAACAAGCAAAGAGCACATTAATAGGATTTTTAAAATGAATCTACAAAGAGTAAGAAAAAAATAATTTTTAATAACTTTCAGTCCCACCACTACGCTTTCCAGGTCATTTCCATTTCTTTTAGGTGCCAAATTAGCGAGGAATGTATGCAGATGTTTGTGAAGGTCAGTAGGATTTAGCACTGTTTAAGTTAATATTATTAAATGCTTGCAGAGTAGGCATGGATTTAAGAACGTTCCTAAAGTTAGGTATTGCTTCGGTGCTCAGCAGCATCAAATACCCAATTACTGTGCTAGGCTACCGTAGTCATTCAGAGTGAATCTAAATGAAGAGGTTGCACTTCATCCCCAGAATAAGCTATTTAAGACTCTAATGAATCTCTTATGGTCAGGAAGAAACTAAACCTATGTCAAAGTAATTGGCATTCATCAGCTTATAATTCAATTAATAGCATCCACAAAAACTACAACTATCCACACTGCTTACAAGGTAATTTTATTTTTTTCTTACAGTCTAACAAGCTTTTAAAAAAAGCATGAAATTACAATATAGAAATGTTAGGTCAGTCTAGATGGCACTACACTCCCGCAACATGGCTGACTGTTAAGGAAGGTAGTCCAGAAGGCAGTGGAACTTCCTGCATTTTTAATTTGTTTTCTTCCTTGACCTCAGCATACCTATTCCTGACATTATTGGCTAAAGAGCCCTGGATGTCATCATGTTTTGTGTACTGTTTTTGGTTTGTGTGTGGAATCTGCATACAGGCATGGCAACTGCTCTTTTTAAAAGCAATAGGATTAGAAACAGCTGCAATATTTTTGTCTGATGTAAGAGCACAGTGCCAGTATAACTGCTCAGGTTCTTCTTTCAGGAGTGAAACCTTTGCATGGCTTGAGATAAACAGCGATTCATTGATTTCTGGTTTTTTGTCCCCTCACTCTATCATTCACAACGTCAGCTCCTTTTTCACCTTTCTGCTTTGTTGCTCTAGCATCATGACTGCAGGAGTCAATCTCAGCTGAAGTACCATTGAGCATTTTCTGAGCAATAATGGCTTTTGTATTCTTCCAAGAAGGGTCTGAAGTATCCTTAGGAGTGGCATCTTTCACAGATGGAACTACTTGTGAAGAC